CTTTTTTATCTACTTCCCCCTTTATATTTATGGGGGATGAACTGTAACAATCCCGACCCATGATTAACATATAATCCATGATTAAGAAGGCTTAATAAATAATTAACGTGAAATTTTGCATGAATTGCCTGTATATTGCATTATTTGTATTCATATATGTTTATCGTAGAAAGATCTATTCATATTTATGTTTTGTTCTGCGAATTGAAGGCCTTATCGACATCCGATTATAAAATTGACTTCGGTTATATGTTATTTGGAATTTTTAGATTTTTATGGTAGGTTTAATTAAAATTTGATTCGGAGCGATTAAATTGGATTAATTAATGTTCTCTTGCTTAGCTATAATTAGCCACCACTAATGAAGCCTATATAAGGCTCCTTATGTGCCCCCACTCATTTATTTCCCTCATTTTAACATATCTTTGAACTTATATACACACCAAACGTGTGAGAGAGGGAGAGTGAGAAGTAGGGGTAAGCATGGTCCGAATTGGACCAGATTGGAGTAAAACCAGAACCAATCCGTTATTTACGGTTCCTGAAAAATTGAAACCAATCCAATCCGTTTAAATCATGGAACCAATCCGAACCAATCCATTTAAATATGGATTGGATCGGTTTAGGACCACGGATTCACATAATTAAAGAACAAAATATATATATATATATATATATATATAACACTTTAATTTCATAAAAGCATAAACATAGTGCTATATTAGTTTCACAATAGCAACATGTCTTTCTATAACAGCGACATACTGTTCTAGAATTTAAACAACCATAAGAAAATTGGTTTCACCATAAGTATTTAGACCATTACAAATTAAAACTAAAAACTAACAAACAAAAGTAATAAAAGAATATATGATGCGGGTTTAAGTTTGAGTTTAGGTTTATATAGAATAAAAGGAGATATTATGGGGGATGATGTATAATAAAAATATAGATTATTTGTATACGGTCCGGATCGGTTCCAATTCGGAACCGTAGAGTTCAATCCGGAACCAATCCGTGGACTACGGATTTTTAATTCTTCAATCCGGAACCAAACCACGGATTGAAAAAACCAATGCAAACCTATCGGATTAGACTGGACTGGATCGGATTACGGATTTCACGGCTTCTTTGCTCAGCCCTAGTGAGAAGAGGTTGTGCTCAAGCTTGAGTTGAGAGAAGATTGAAGAGAAATAAAAGAGATTGAACTCATTTTCTTGAATAATTTGAGTCTTAGGTAAGAATTCAACTCAGGTATGTAACCTTAAATTCATTTTCTTGAAGAATCAAAGAGAATTAAGTTACGTCAATTAAGAATTGAACTAGAAGTGTAAAAATTGAGCCATACCATGCATGCATGCACGCACTTCCATCACATTTTTTAGTTTGAATTTCAAACATATTTCACATGTATGTGTCTATCATGACTGGGTTTTGAGAATTCATCACATTTCTTACCATTTGACCTTAATAGATCATGTTTTGGAAAGTCTAAGTTCATAGTAATTCATGCAAGTCACGTTCATGGCATATTTATAAGTTTTAAGTTGACTTTTGAACAATGGGCATGTTATTCGGCTTGATTTTACGAAATGGTTTTGAATTCAAGATGTTTTCCAAGTTTACACATGTATCTTTAAGTTTTTAGCCCAAAAAGATGAGTTTTGATGCATTGAATTTGAGTTTTGCAGCTTGAAATGAATATGGAAATTCCAGAATTTGACCCATCCGCTTGAGCGGCAGATCCTGTGCTTGAGCGACCACTCTTTGATCTTGCACTTCCATTCGAGCGACCAGAATTTTGCTCAAACGTGAAATACAAGCTCCCAGAAGTTTTATGTTTTTGCAGACGGCTTGAGCGACAAGAGTTGCGCTTGAGCGAGGACCTCAGTTTCACGCTCGAGTGATCGGCGAGTGGAGAATCCACACAACCAGTACTTTTGCAAAGTTTACAGGCTGCTCGAGCGACAGAAGTTGAGCTCGAGCGACTACTCATATTTTGCATGTCCGCTCGAGCAAAAGAAGTTACGCTCAAGCGAGACCCCTATTTTTAACAAATTTCATTAAGTGTTTCCAAGTGCATTTTAGCATCCTCATTGCATCCTAGGCATTCCTAAGCTAAGATTAAGACATAATAATGAGGATAAAGGCTAGAAACACACTAAGAACAAAATGAAATGAGTTATTTACAATCCAAGCATGTGTTTCAGTATATGTATCTGTTATGTTTGTGTAGGTCACAAGCCGTGAGTTGTTGGTCTATTAGTTTACTATCAAGCTATCTGTGAAGCTATCTGTGAGTAATAATTTAGTAAAACTACGTTTGATATGAAATACTTTCTAAATATTATGATATGATATGAACTGTTTTTGAATGATACAAACGGCTATTTTGTGATTATATGAATGATGATCCAATTCTTTGAAATGTCGTTGTGGTATCCTTAGCGGAGGCCCTCGTCCAGGGGAAATAATACTGTGACTTATGGTCATGAGGCCCTCGCCCAAGGGAGATAATCCCGTGGCCCAAGCCCTCTCTCGGAAAAATAATACCGTATCACAGGCCCTCGCCCGAGGGAAACAATACCGTGGCCCACGTATGAGATAGATTACCAAGTACCGGTGGTTCCAATGTGGAGCTTACTATGCTTGACCAAAGAGATATGTTTATGACTCTGTTTCTGATATGAATATGTTTATGTTTATGTTTCTGTTCAATAAGAGATTTTAAAGTTATATTTATGACGGACATCATTCATTGAACCTCTTTACTCTGTTACTATTTACTGGGCTTCTGCTCACTATTTATATTATGTATGTAGATGATTAGGCTCGGGGTTGATGAACTGACATCTCGGTTTTGTCAGCCAGCCGTTGTGCTTCTGAGGAGGTTCCTTTTTGCGAGCGGGTCAAGTCTAAATGGCTTATGTTTAAAACTTTGTCTTCTGTTTGGTATAGAACAAATTCTGTTCATCTGTACACTGGGCTAAGTTCGACTTTTGTTTTATCTGTATATGAGATTGAGGCACGACTAATATATATGATGTCACATGTGTGTTATTAAAGTTTTAAATTTGTCCCATATACGTCAGCATAGTTCTATGGACAATGTGTTTTATATGATTGCTTCCACAACCCCTAATTATATATTATTTTGTTTAGAGGCCTTTGGTAATCCCATAATTGCTGGCCGATTATGACGCTAAATCTATAGGGACGGGTTTGAGTCGTGAAATAAACAGTTGCTCTCTACATTTGGGGAGCAACTGTAACATTTCTTATAATAGAGAGTTGTTTTAAGGGAGTTGATGTGGTTGATTTTATAAAGAAAGATTTCCTAAAATAGATAAGGGGTCGATTTAGGGGATCCAATGGGGATGCTTTAACATAATACCTTATATTTTCACATGAACAACTTGTCATTGTCTGGTTCTACTACTTTTCCAATCAATCTCACCCTTAATATGATATGGGATGAGAGTGTAACATTGTAAATTCGCTTCGTTGTCGTCCTTATGGGTCATTAAAATAGATAATTGGTGAGAGTAATTATTATTTTATTAGTATTCCAAAATGGATGTGCAGATAAGCTAACTATTATTTTTTTGGTATTCCAAAATGTATGTGCAGATTAGTTGCTCCATACATCTGCTAGGGGATATTGTCCCTTAATACCCATATACATTTGCCGAAACCAACACCACACCTACGTCAGGACTGAAACTAAGGTTTCAGAGTACTTTAGGCATTAAGAAGTAGATGTAACCCCAATAATCTACTAAGGAGGAGATTTGAACTTAGACGTTGAACAAGGTGGACCTTACCACTGAACTAACAAATCATTAGTGAGAGTAATTATTTATATTATGTGAATTTATTGTTATCTTTGGCAACATGTGAGTGGGGTTATTTTAGCTTATTTCACGAATCATTAGTGAGAGAATATTATAAGAATTTATTGTTATCTTTGGCAACCTGTGTGTGAGGCTATTTTAGCCTCTGTTTGGGAAGAAAAAGCCCAGGCTTTTTTGGCTAAAATAGCCACAAAAAACAAAATAGGCTATTTTAGCTACAAAAAACAAAACATCAAATCCAACCCATAATCATTACAATCCTCTCTCACAAAAAAAGCCAAAAAAGCTAAAAAGTCAAAAAGTCATTCCCAAACCACGCTAAAATAGCCCAGGCTAAAAAAGCCAAAAAGCCAACCTACTTCCCAAACGGAGGCTCAAAATACAACTCCACACTCAAATCTTCACCAAAAAAAAAAAAAAAAAAAAGCTAAATAGCCTCATTGTAGCTGAGGTAGGAAAGAATTGGATTTCACTTTTGAAAATACTATTTTACCCTTTGTTTAGCTTATATAAAAAACCAGAGTAATCCTTGATGTAGAGGCCCTCATCTGTCTCACCCACTTAACTAGCATGTACTTTTTCCATTTATTACATACAAAAAATTGTGTAATATATATGTATCACTAGTCAACAAGGGTTGGAGGCGGCAGTGTCCTCATTTGCCACATCATTGGCTTTTTTATAGTTTTTGGTATGGGCACTATAGTCATTTTACATAATACTATAATTTTAAATACATTTTTCAATATAACAACTTAAATAAAAATTCATCTCATATTTTTAAACACAAAAATTAAAATAACCTAATAAAATAGTCAAAAAATCTAAAAAATAATCACTTCTCAAACACCCATTATGTATCCAATCATTACAAGAGTTATATGAAATATATGATATTGAAAACAAATAAATTATAGACAAATCATAAAATATAACTAAAAGGTACAAGGACATGTGATATTCTGAACTCACTCTATTTGGTTGAAGTATATTTACGAATTTTTTTAAAAAATTATAAATTAATTTGACAAAAGTAGGCACCAAAATATTTTTATGTAATTATTAAAGTTGGTAAATTTTTGTCATTGATTTGAAATTTGTTTTGAAAATATAGGCTGAATTGTAATTTTCCCAACAAAAAAATAGGGGAAATTCTATGTACACCCCAGAGACTATCGTTCTCTTCGTTCTGTACGTAAAACCCTAATTCTAAGAATCTCTCTCTCTCTCTCTCTCTGTGCACAGAACAAAACGAGAGCACCCAAATGGGTCGTCCCGAGCCTTGTGTGTTGTTCGCTCAGACATTTGTTCATCCCCAACTCGATGAGTACGTCGACGAGGTACTACTTCTTCCTCAATCTTCTCTCTTCCGTTTCTTCACATTGTTCTATTGTTGATGGGTTTGCCATGCTTTAATCAATTCTGGGCATGATTTACTTTTGGTGCACTGTTCGGTTGTTGTTACCAATTTGGGTTTTGGGTGATAGTAGGAAGAAATTTACTCCACAAAGTTCATATTTTTTTAAAAAAGATTTTGTATTTTCAACATTTTATTGGCAGCCGAATGGATTTTAACTCAGTACTCGTGTATTCTCTATTATGTTTATACTATGTATGAATTGATATGTTATTTTATTGTTTTAAGTAAATTTCAGTACCAGAATTACATAGAACATGAGATTCGATGTTAAACTAGACGAAATTAAACCTGCTTGCCAACTATGTAGGGTTCTATTATATATAATTTTGGAGAATAGTGATATATAAGTAGGCATTAAAAGTTTGTATTTGTTCCTTACCCTTTTGGTAGGATGATGTTGAGAGTGGAATTTAGGAGAACCTAATTACAAAGTTATTTACTTCTATTTATGGTTGTTTTAGGATTAGTTTAAGTGGATAAGCTCTTTTGTGAACCGCCTTTTAAATGGGGTTAATATGATCAAAGAGATATGGAAACTTTAAAAAGGGTTTTGAAAGTATTGTTGACCAACTATCAACAGTTTAGTTTCAGAGAAAGTAAAGATCTGTTTAGTTGTTGTTTATATAATTTTTGATTAGTACAAGGGTCTACATTTTCTAACCAGCAATGTTGACTGCTTAGGAACTAGACTATACAGACTCTCTTCAGGCTTAACTGATGTAAATGGTTTGTGGTGTACTTTGTGCATCAATAAGGACTAGGTTGACTCAAATCTGTTGGGGACAAAGTAATAATAACCTTTTCATCTGAGGATGCATGAGCAGTTTTCTGTGCATTTGCTTGCCATTCAATTGATTGGTGAACTAGTTTTATCCTGTTGTGGTGCTAGAGAGCAAAATGGATAAAAGAAGAAAAAGATAGGGTGACTGTAGAGATGGGCCTTTACTCTTTGTTTGGTATAGTGGTGGGGAGAGAAGTGAGTTACCAAGAATAGGTTTACACCAAGGATTGGTGCTCATCCTTACTTTTGTGCATTATTTATGGATGAACTCACACTCACTTATCCTGCTTTATATCGCTTGTTAATGACAAAGCTCTAAATTGTGAGTTGGAATGTTATTGGAGAAATGCTTTAGAATTTAAGGACTATATGGGCTATATAGATTTGATTTTAGAAAAGTCAAAAGCAAATTTGTGACTATAGCCCAGCTGTGTCTATAACGATGGAAAATTGATTGTATATAACATAAGACTTAAAGAGTTGGATCATTGAAGTGTGAAGGTTCTTTAGGAGTGTTGTATGGCTGTTGAATTGCTAGGCAGTAAGGAAACATCAATGTTAAGATGAATGTGTGCAACGATCCCGTTCAGCATTGGAAGTTTGCATAAGTGATCATGGGTATAAATGTTACATGATCTTGGGTAAAACTTAGGGTTGGTTTGGGATGTTCTAAAAAAGTGCACTTTTTGACTTATTGGCTTATATGGGTTGGGTTTGGGTTGGGTTTGATGTGATGTGCTAGAGAGGTGTTGTGATTTAAATAGGATAGTGATTTTTTGATTTTTTGTATTATTTAGTAGATGTCAAACTTGGCCTTAATCCCAAAAGCTAGATAATGAGATGAGGGTGCCCTTATGCTTATAAGCTATGAAGCACGGACATGGACATGGACACGGACACGGTCACCAACATGGGATACAGAAAATTAAAAAAATGGGGACACAGACACGGCAGGGAATACGGCGATTTTTTTTTATTATATATTTTTATGTGTTATGTAGATTCATATTACATTCATCCTAAATCAAAATTAACAAACACTAACATAGTAATATTAATTCAATAAATATAACCACCTCATTTAAACAAATTAATAGATCATCCATTCACAAAAAAGTCACAATAAACGATAACAAGAATAAAGACGAGAAGGGGAAAACATTCAACATCCAACAATATTCTTCACAAAAGCACTAAATAAGAGAGGCAAAAGAAGGAAAAAGAAAAAAAGAAAAAAGTGAGCCCCGATGTGTCCCATGCCGTGTCCCGATATAGACACGCGTGTCCCCGCTATGTCTCATGTCGTTTCCCAATATGGACACACGTGCCCCCTACAAAAAAATCATTAAATTAGATGGCGCGTAACTGTCACGTCACCTATTTTGGAGTGTCCATGCTTCATAACTTATAGGCTTCACATTATTTTAGTACCTAGGCAATGTGGGATTTCGCTTCACACCCTGCCTCACACACAACGTGCTCACTCGGTAGTACTTGCCGCATGCAGGCCAAGCACATGCACTTTACCCATCCCTAGTTACTCCAGTTCTGATACCATGTTTGCTTTGAATTTTGTATCAATAAAAGGCACCACTAGGTTGCTACTAATTAACTTAAATTTAAGCATTTTGAGTCATGGTTGGAGAGAAATGCACAGATCTTTGATGAAAAGGAGTCAGATGCAGAATCTCCATGGGATAAGGCGGATATTTGCCTTCGTTTTGGGCTTTTGTGTCTCATCCTTTTAAAGGAGTTCTATTTTTATTGATTTCTAGGGATTGGGCTACTGCTTGCCATCCTTAGTGATTGGTTTTTTTGTTGATTGTTTTCGGTTTTGTTTAGACCTTTTTCATTGTTCGAGGACTCCTTGTCTTCTCTCCCCTTTCTTGCTTATGCTTAATAAAATTCTTCATTGCTTTTCAAAAAAAAAAAAAAAATGTTGGTATTAGAGTCAACCCATGCACACTACCATGTGGGTCACTGTTCTGGGCTTACTATGAGCTTAAAGATTTTAGGTCATGTTGTATGGTGATGAATAATTGTTAGAAGTGGTTTGGTCATTTGCGACATAGATCATCTAATGTGGTAGCAAGAAAGGGTGATGCAATCCATGTAGAATGTCTTATAAAGATAAGAGGAAGACCATGAAAGAATTGGGTTCAAGCATTGAGAAAGAATTAGTTGCTTTGTTTTTAACTAATGACATGGTTATGAATTGAGCTAATTAGAGAATGCAAATCCTGCAATTGACCTATGTGATCTGATTAAGGCTTATTGAGTTTAGGGGATGGTGAGTAATGGAAAAATGTTGTAACACATTACAAGTATTTCAACAGATGATCATTTGAATTGTAGAAGATGTATGATCATATTTGATGTTGTATGTGTAAGGTGGTCAATGAACTAAACTTTTTTGTTCATTATTTGGAGTTTGTTTGCTAGACTTGTGCTTTATTTGTTGTTATCCTTTTGTTATCTTGTGCATCTTAGCTTTTGAATGGGTGTTGGATCAAAAGAGGGAAGAAGTAGGCCTCCTTTCTCCCTTTGTGCATATTGTGATAATGATTTTGGATAATTTTTTAGAACCAGAAGCTTGGTATTCCTATGCGAATAGTCATGTTGGACAATTTTCCTGTAGGTTTGCAATCTCAAATATACCATATTCATATTCTCCTAAGCTCTCTAAGGCTTTGTTTGGTTAATAAGAATTTTGTATGGGAAAGTTGTTCCCAGGAAAAGTATGTTAAAGGAAAAGGAAATTTATTTTGATGACAGATTTTTGCAAGAAAAATAAAAATTATTTGTTCTTTTATTAGGAAATGGAAAGTTATGGGAAAGTGCTTGAGTTGCTTATGAGATTCCCGTGAAACCTTGTATTTTTTTGTGGGATTAGTTTTGAAGGAAAGTTTATCCCAATGGGAAAGTGAAATAAATGGGCCCTACAAGTTTCCTACCAACTGAAAAGTTAAAAATTAATATTGGAAAGTTGATTTTCTTTTACTTTACTTTCCTGACAACTGAATGGGGCCTAATTGTTTTTCATTTAACGTTCTCTCAAAATTGTGATTATGGTTTAAATTATTGTTATTATTATTATTATTTTTTTATTTTTTGGAAGAAGGCTTCCTTTCGTAGACAGTTTTTTTATGTTTGTTATTGATGATGATAATCTATAGATTATCTCCACCTTGTTGCAAGTTCAACTATATTCAGTGTGTTTGGTTTGAGTTTTTTGAATTAAGTTTTTTGAAAATTAAGTTTTTTAGTTTTCGTATTTTTTTGTTTTTAGTGAATATTTTTAAAATTTTAAACATTTTTTTTTTACTTTTTAGATGCACCTTACTTAGATGTATTTAAAAAGTAAAAAATTTGTGAAAAAATATTTTAAAATATTAATAAATACATAAAAATACAAAAAATGTACTGAATTCTCGTATTTTTTTTTGTATTTTGGGTATTTAGTGAATTTTTAAAAGGTTTTCTTCACAAATTTTTTACTTTTTAGATACATCTAAGTTAGGTCTGTCTAAAAATTTTAAAAATTGCTTAAAATATTAAAAAAAATCAGTAAAAACAAAAAAAACACGGAAAATTAGAAAGTAGAATTTTCTGAAAAGTGTTTTTTGAAAAGGGAAACCAAGCATAGTGATTTTTTTTTTCTTCTTTTGGTCTCTAAACATCTTCAATCTTGATCTGCAACTAATGTTTGAATAGCTGGCTTAATTGACAACGTTCTGCATATTTTATTTTCTATATTTTTTAGTTTTTTTGTGTTACAGTAGTCTGCTCATTTGTTATATGCCACTAACATATTATATCTCTTTCCAGGTAATATTTGCTGAACCTATTGTCATCACTGCTTGTGAGTTCCTCGAACAGAATGCTACATCAGCTTCTCCGGCAGTAACACTAGTAGGGTAAGAGTGTTAGTAATGTTGGTTGATTTTTTGCTTGTTATGTTATTCTTAGGAACCATGTATGGCCTAGTGAATGGTGCTATATATTATGTTTGATTTAGAATTTAGGCAAGTATACTTTCAATTTGAAAGATATACTTTGCTATATGTATTGTAGAAGAAAAATTGCAAATTGGAGAAGTAAAAGCTTTTAAATGGATTGCTCACTTTTTCCTGTCACTAAAAACATTTTTCTTTCTTTTGACCAGCAACAAAGAAATTTTATTAAATAAAATAGAAGAAAAAGTACAGAGGACTATAAATCTTCCAAGTAAAGATTACCAAAATTACATCTCACACAACTTTCCAATTTGTATTAATAAAAAACAAGAAACCCCCTTGAAAGAATGCAACACTGATACCCAAAAAGAAGTCAAATAACAAATTGTCCATAAACCCATGCTTTCATCCTTTTCCTAAAAAGTCTTGCATTACTTTTTAACCAAATTACTCTAAACATGACACAAATCACATATTTCCAAAGAACTTGGGCTCTTCTATTGGGGCTAAACTCCCTTGCAAAACCCCCCCTTGCGGGAAAAAAAAGGAAATATCCTGTGGTATTTTCTTCATGGTGTGTGTTTCTATTTTCCAATTTTGTGTTACTGTTGTTATCATTACCTTTTCCACCAGCTTATCTTGTGATGTTCTTTTTCTTGTACAGGGGCACTTCACCTCCTTCATTTGCTTTGGAGGTTTTTGTTCAGTGTGAAGGGGAAACGAGGTTTAGGCGACTCTGTCAGTCTTTTCTGTATTCTCATTCTTCGTCAAATGCACTTGAAGTTGAGGTAACTACTACTGTTCTTTGTTGCTTCGCCAATGATACCAAAAAATGCTAGTATTCTAGTGATTTACATTGATGTTCCAAAGTGGTGAATTTAGCAATCCAAAATGATCCCAATTTTTTTTCCTATTTATTTCCTTCAAAAGTTTTCTTTAGGAGAAAAAATATAGATTAGTTCAACTAAAGTACTCATGCATTCTTATTTCAGAAATATGTATAAGAATGCAAAGTGGTTTACTTTCAACAAATACAGATGTGTTTACATTTATATTTTGATGGTAACTTTGACTTTATTTAGTTATCTTGGCCTACACTTTGGCAGCAATTTTGGCTGAAAGTAAGCGAAGTTGTTGAGTGATTGGGAGATATAAATGATACATAAGCACTCTGGATTAAAATAGCTAATTTTCCACCCTAGGGTGGTGGATGTCACTCTAAAATGTGAATCAGTGGACTGCAGTTTCATTGATTTCATTCTGCAAATTAATCTGAGCAGTTACTGGGTTCATTATAAATTGTGAATGTAGCAAATGATTGGGTGGCACTTGGCCTTGTTGCTGGTATGCCACACACATCCTATTGCTCGCGGCTGAACTTTTGACCGCACCTTAGAAGCGCGTTGATACAGTTCATAGCTTGAAAGTCTAATGCATGGTGTGTGGCTTGAACCAGTGGCCTCATTAAATTTCAACAACAATGCTACCGCTGTGATCCCTCACGTGTTTAATAAAAAAAGTAAAAAAAATGCGTATATATTGTAAGGCTCGCATGCGTCTGGTGGAGAGAGTCACTGATGGGTCAGTAACATACAGGCTTTCAGTGGTAACTGCCTGGATGTCTTTCAGTTATAGCCCTTTTAAGAACTGCTAGAGCTTGTTTGGGGCTGTTCATGGTCGGCCCTAGGAATATTTTGGGTGAGATGATTTCAAATTAGAGTTCAATGGAACGGTTGCAAATTTTATGTCTGTTCAATCAGCAGCAATTCACCATGTATACATTTTTGCAATTCACCATAATTAGATATGTTTTTCTAATGTATATGTAATTTCTTTTCCTTTCCCATAAATATAGTCAACATTTAAAGAAAGTATGGTGATAATTATAATGTTTTTAACATTTTATTGGAAGTATTTATATATATAAATGTGCACTGCAAGATAAGATAAAATATTCAGCTCACCAAAGCTGCAACTGAAATCGAAATATACAAGGAACCCATTCAGTTTCTGTTTGGTTCTTGTTGCTTTGTTTGGTTCAAGCTAGTGAACCTAGTTTTGATAATTTTGGGGACAAGGTGGGCTACCACCTGCACTTACATGGGATGCCCCTCATATTTCTTGTTATTACTCTTTCAATGTTTATTTTTTTTCGATAACTCGGTATTCGGCCCAATGAACCGACTAATACAAGGGACCAAATCCTACTGTTCACTAGTGGGGCCCCCAATTAAAGCTAGGTCAAAGCCCCGTATAGATTGGCCCCAAGAAATTGTTTGCACCTAGGAGGTTTCGAACTTGAGGTTGAGACCATGGAGGAGGGAGCACCTCCCCCCAAGCCCCAGGCCTTGACCACTAGGCCAACCCCTTGGGGTTTCTTTCATTGGTTGACTTGCAAGTTAGATGTCCTCAGTTGTCTCTCGCAGTGGTTGTTTCTTACCTTTGCCTTAATTCAGCCAATTTTATGGTGCTCAACCCCTTCCCCCTTTCTTCTTCTTGGTATATCTTTCATTGGGAAATCTGTGACCTATTTTTTAAGTTTTTGTAAGTAATAATACACAATTTTGTTGCAGGCTGTTGTAACTAATCATTTGGTTGTAAGAGGCAGCTACCGCAGCCTTAGCTTGGTCATATATGGGAACACAGCAGAAGATCTGGGGCAGTTCAGCATAGAAGTTGATTTAGATAGCTCTTTAACTAATACAGTTTTTTCTATTGAGGGAAAGCTTGAAGATCTCCCACCTGCACTGCATCTGACTAATCTGACAATTGAGGAATTGATATCTTCCCCAAAAGCATTATCTCTAGAAGTTGTTGCATCCGATATTTCTGTTGAGATTAAACAGTTGTTAGAGTTGACATTTAAGGCTTTGCAATTGTCGAACCTTGGTGATGCAGTCAATAAAGTTATTAGTTCTTTTGTGTCAGCAGCCTCGTCTTATGATACTCATTGTTGGTATTGTCCAGCCATCGGTCAAAAACAATCTTTGGAGGGCAGGTCTAGAAATTGTGTACTTGCTGAGGCTAGAAAGGATCTGTTGGATATCTACGATAGTCTTCAACATAAATCAGGAAACCTTTCAGCTGAATCCTTGGCAGACAGCACATTTCTCGATTCTGAGGCTGATGTGGCTACTTCCAAACAGTTGATGGATATCCTAAGTAAATATTTCCATTTTGATAGGACTTCTGGAAATCCTGGGCATCATCAGCTTTCAAAGGTGGTTTAAATTCTCAATGGTTTTCGGTTACTTCAGCAGATTTTGACGTCATTTAACTGAATTGAATTAATGCGCTCCTCTCTCTATCTCTCTCTCTATATATATATATATGTATGTATGTTTATATACATATATATGCTTGAATTCATTGATCACTGATTTTGTAACTTTCTTCTCAGAATAAGGGCATCATTCTGTGGTTGAGTGCTGCTCTTTTGTTTTGCTCTAGTAGAGAGAGCTGCTTTCACTTTGTTAATAGTGGTGGTATGGAGCAGCTTGGACATATTTTTTGTAATGGCATGCGAAATTCTCATGCCATTACATTGTTGTTACTTGGGGTTGTGGAGCAGGCTACTCGGAACTCAATTGGTTGTGAAGGATTCCTTGGTTGGTGGCCTCGTGAAGATGAAAGCATTCCTTCTGGGACCAGTGAAGGTTATAATCAATTATTGAAGTTGTTATTGCAGAAACAGCCGCATGATGTTGCTTCTCTTGCAACTCATATACTTCAACGCTTGCGTTTTTATGAAGTTGCTTGCAGATATGAGGTATATGCTTGGACTTGGTAGTGCGTATTGGGGTGGTGGTGGTTGCCAGTAGTTGTATGATTCTAGTTACAGTGACTTATTTATCATTGCTGTTTTGGCAGTCTGCAGTATTATCTGTACTTGGAAGTCTTTCGGCTGCTGGAAAGGTTACTAGTGTCACCTTGGACAAGCTTGCCAATGCTAAATTCCAACTCAAAACTCTCATGGTTAGTTGAAAGCTTCTTATTCTTTGTCTATTTGGGCTTAAAGCAGACTAGTAGTCACTTTCTAGTAATACTACAATTGTTGTTTATTAGTTAATGTTTGTTGACAAGTGTTGCTGCAGAAATTGATAACTTCACGTGGTCCTATTGAAGATCCTTCCCCACTGGCCTGCACAAGCAGATCATTGCTTCTTGGTGAAACGGAAGGCTTGTTGTCATACAAATCAACTTGTAGCTTGATTACTTCCTCAAATTGTTGGTATTCTAATTGGGATATTGACTCACACTTGCTATTCCTTCTCAAGGTATGTTGTTGCATCTGCTCTTTTGACTCAAAAGTGGCTATAGTTGGGACATGAACTCACATTTGCTTTCGTTTCACAAGCTCTACTGTGTATTAGCTCCTTTTCATTCTAAAAGTGGTTCTTAGCATATTTTTTTTGTTGCTTCATCCCTTTTTTATTTGGTAATAATTTTTTGGCATATTTCTTTGGCATTTTTTTTTTTTGTTTCTTTCCCCTTTCTTCCTACTTCACTCTTCATTGATCTTTGACGTTCTGTTTTTGAGCAATATAGCTCTGTTTTTTTGTGCTAATTAATAATAAGCTTGTTCTTCCAAGGAAGCATGATGAAAATTTATTTGTATGGAAGAAGTTCATAAATGGCGGAGACTTGTTTATCACATATATGTGAGATCACGATTGAACATTAACCTTGTTCAATAGACCATTCAGCAGACATCTAGGGTATGTACGCAAAGAAGAAAGAGAAGGAGGAGAAGAAGAAGAGAGGGAAAGTCGATGAGGCCAATCACACACAAACACAATCTCCATTTCTCATAATATCAATTTTTCATTGAATTATTGAGATTACACATATATTCCGTTTTGCAAATCACATAAGGTATCAAATCTTTGCAGCAAATAAAGCACCACACAAACACCATTGGCTTGACTAAAGTGCTGACTTACACCTCCTACAGTGTCGGAAAATCAGAGTAGGAACCAGGATGGACATTCCGCAAGGTAGATAAATCTCAGGTCCATCCACGCAGCCATCCCAAGAACGATCTTGTAGAGAAAAAAAAGGGCAAGCAACCTAATCAAACCACCCAAATGATTAAAACAATAAAGTATGTGTATTAGGGAAGGGGCAAAACAGGGGGTCTCCAAGGTCAAAAGGTACTTTGGAAATCCTGCTTTCCTCTGAAATGATCTCTACCTTCTGGTTGGATTTTCACAAATATATGGAACTCATGTTTGTAAAAGCTCGAGCTGTCAAGTCTGAGAATGTAGGTTCGAGTCTGTGAACAACCACTTCGTGCAAATAATGCCATAATTAGTAAATTAAGGAGTTTGACTTATTGGACATAAATTGACCCATGTGACCCGTGGAGCAAAACCCCAACTTGGGTGCTGCTAATTACACCCCCAAAATTTCTTTTCACTCCCACCTTCATCTCACACATATTGGGAATTGTGCTCTCACAATGTGGGTGTGGAGATAAATTCAAGATGTAAATAGAATTACCTCAACGCATGCTCAACAATTCTAAAAATAACCAAAATACTACTAAAACCTAATAAAATAAAATATAAAGAAACCTGTCTGGCAGCTACTAACTTATAAAAATTACAAATTTACTACTTTACCCTAAACATGATTATATAGTGTTAATGGCATGCTCCAAGAAAAATTCCAGATTTGATCCCTTTTTGCTTTCCATGTGTTGCATCAGTCAAGGTACTTGGCTTTCTTGAAGTCAACTGGCCATGCTCTTTTTTTTTTTTTTTTAATTGTTTATTTTCTTATTGTTTTAAGTTCTGTTCCTGTGCAATTAACTCTATGTTTTCGTGTAAGCAGGAGAGAGGCTTCTTTCCTTTGTCAGCTGCACTGTTGTCATCTTCTCTTTTACGGTCTGAAATGGGACGTTCTATGGACATATTTGTGGATATCACATCATGTCTTCAGGCCATAATTCTGTCACTTCTTTTCTGTCGCTCAGGTTTTGTGGAAGCTACCTTTATCATATTTTGTCACATTTACTGGTTTTTCTGACCCTTTTTCTTAATGGTGTTTTTTTTTGATTCGTGTTGTTTCTTTTCTCTATCAGGCTTAATATTCCTTCTACTTCACTCTGAACTTTTCACTACTGTAATTCTTGCTCTAAGGGGTGCTGATGGTTTGAGGAAGGAAGAGCCTCTTCCTCTACGTTATGCATCTGTCTTGATATCCAAGGGTTTCTTTTGTCACCCAGAGGAAATTGGAATGATTGTCGAAACTCATTTGAGGGTGGTTAGTTCCATTTATTGCATTATTATTGTAGTTTCCTTTTTGCTCTCAACTTTAGTTTTGTTTCCTGTAGTTTTCTCTTTCTTTTCTCTTTTTATTTTTGTTCTCTCTCTCTCTCTCTCACTCTCTGTTTTTTTCCCTGTCCTTTTTTGAGATAAGAAGCATGACATGGACACGTGACAAGACATAGACATGCCGGCACGGAAATTTTTTAAAAATGCAGGACATGACACGCAATGGACAAACACTTTTATATATTTAGTATATGACATATACAAGGGTAAAAAAAATATTATATGCGATATGAAATTTTTTTCCAAAGATAATAATTAAGTCTAAAGGAGGAGAATATGTATAAATTTATGTTGTTTTTCTTTTATTATTGGATTTCATGTTATTTTATTCAAACTTATAATGTGTTTGTTTCTCAAGTGTTTGAAGCCTGTCCGAGTATAGAGATTTTAAAAATAGTTGGACATGTTTGTTTGTGTGTTGAGAAGTGTTCGATGAGTGGCGTGTCATATCGGAGTCAGCCACACCACGCCACGCCACACCACACCACCTTCTTAGGAGTGTCCGCGCTTCTTAGCTTTTGAGTTCTATTCTTGTTGTTTAGCAATTTATGTAAATTGTCATGTTTTGGATGCAGGTCAATGCTATAGATCGTCTACTTACTTCACATGCACACTCTGAAGAAATTTTATCTGTGTTATGGGAGCTGTGTGGTCTTTCTAGGTGGAGCTATTGATTTGTTTGCCTGCTATTGTGCTTCAATGTAATATGAATGGTTTGGGAGTCCTTTGACTGATACTCATGAGTTGATTTGTAGGTCTCATTGCGGGCGACAAGCTCTATTGGCTCTAGGGCATTTTCCAGAGGTATTATTGAATTTGTTGTTGTGAGGCATAAAAAGTGTGGCAGTCAGATTCTAACTTTTAGTTGACATACTTACAAACTCTGTTATTAGAATCTTATGATTCGTGATTCGATTCACGATTCGATTCACAATTTTTGCAAAATCAATACGAATGTATGGGTGAATCTATTTTGGAAGTAAATCTACAGTGAATCGCACGATTCAGAATCGATTTACGATTCGATTGACTTTTTACGATTCGTGCAATTCTTAAAACTATCGTGTCCGATATATTTTCAATTATTTTTTTCTCCATCTTTGTAGTGAAAATGACATAATACAGCTTCTAATCCATCTTTGTAGTGAAAATGACATAATACAACTTCTAATAGCATTTAGTACCAAAATAACCAATACATGTACATGATTTGTTGTCATTTAGTGATCATGTAGTTTTTAATAGGATCCAATCAAATTTAGTCAGACCTAACATGTTTTTTAACTTTCTTTTCATTTTTTTCCCTTAAAAAATCATAATACATCTGCTTTAAGATTAACGTAACACCATGAATTATCTATTACTATTTTATTACATTAAATGTAGTTGAATATTACATTTATCAAAAAAAAAAAATAAATATATATATAGTTGAATATTACATGGGTGAAGTTAGTTATACTTTTTAAAATGTTTTAAGCTTTTTAAAATAAAAGATCCTAAATAATTTTGTTATTTGGTCATTGTTACTTGGAAGAATATGTATGCTTATTGTCTAAATATCAATATTGTTGTTAAATTATTGTTACTTTAGAAATTGAGAATTTGTTTTTGTTTACTATCTTTATTAAGAATGATTGATAAGAAATATCAAAAAAAGGGAAAAGGTGAGATGAGGATCTTACATAGGAACTTTTGTTAACTTCTTACCTAATAAACTACGCGATCATCATTAAAATTAACATTTTCATTGATTTAAGTCTAAATATTTCATATTTATAAGATACATTTTACATCCAAGGGTGTAGATATATTTTTCCAAGTAATATAGAAAAGCGACCGAATTGTCTAAATATCAATATTGTTGTTAAATTATTGTTACTTTAGAAATTGAGAATTTGTTTTTGTTTCCTATTTTTGTTAAGAATGATTGATAAGAAATATCAAAAAAAGGGAAAAGGTAATACGGTGATCTTACACAGGAACTTTTGTTAACTTCTTACTTATTAAACTACGCGACCATCATTAAAAATAACATTTTCATTGATTTAAGTCTAAATATTTCATATTTATAAGATACATTTACATCCAAGGGTGTAGATATATTTTTCCAAGTAATATAGAAAAGTGACTGAATCTTTACGATTCACGATTCGAATCCCGATTTGACAACAATGCTTACAAATGCCACATGAGATTCAAAGAAACAAAAACATGGTTGATATTAGTATCTTTAAAATTTTATGATTCTTATTGCTATTATTTATTATTCTACCAATATTATTGTTCATTTTGTCATTGTTACATTGGCTAATTTTTCTTTTTCTTTTGCTTATGCTGAATCTAAAGATATATCACAGTATGACTTATCCAAAAAAAAAAAAAAGAAAGATTTATTGCTATATGAATTATAAGATCAGTTTTTTTCTTGGAAATAATTGTTATTTAACCATTGAAATTGCTAAACATATTGCTTTTAAAAAAAGAAGAGGAGAAATTGCTAAACATATTATTGTTAATACTTAAGCTATCACTATTGAGTGTGTTTGCTTTTCAAAGCAGTTTTCCTTGTTTGGTATTGGCAGATTCTCATAATTGTTCATTTGATTCTTATAATATGCCTTTTAAACGTATTATGTTATGATCTTCGAGGACTCCTTGCCATCCTGTGTACTCTATTTTTTCTTTAATAAAATTAATAATGTGGTAGATAAAATAAAAAAAAAATTATTATGATTGTGTACGAGCATATTTAGACTAGTAGTTCTAATGAACTTTGACATTTTTCCTGCCCCCTGTTTGTAGGCTGTTTCTGTTTTGATAGGAGCGTTACATTCTATCAAGGAATTGGATCCAGTTACCTCAAATAGTGGTAGTTCACTACTTTATTTTTCAATAAAAAATAGTTTTAGTTATTCACTTGTTACTGTGTGCATGTTAATTCGATGAAATCCTTGATTTGCAGGAGCTTCACCGCTTAATCTGGCAGTCTTTCACTCAGCTGCTGAGATTTTTGAAATCATTGTTGCTGATCTGACAGCATCTTCCCTGGGTTCTTGGATTGGAAATGCTACGGAACTTCATAGAGCTTTGCATTCCTCTTCCCCTGGTTCCAACAGGAAGGATGCTCCTACACGGCTTTTGGAGTGGATAGATGCCAGTATAGTTTATCATAGAAAAGGGGCTACTGGTCTTCTACAGTACACTGCTGTGTTGGCTTCTGGAGGAGATGCACACATTGCTTCGACAAGCATTCTGTCATCAGATACAATGGATGTTGAGAATATTGTTGGAGATTCTTCCACAAGTTCTGATTGTAATCTTATCGAGAATCTGCTTGGTAAACCTATTTTTGAAAATAGTTATCGCGCTGGCGTTCTTCGTGACTCTTCAGTGGCTCAACTGACAACTGCATTTCGAATTTTAGCTTTCATTTCGGAGAACCCGGTATGAGCTTGACTTTTTCTTCATCTGTATGATCCAAATGAATTTTAGCTGTCTAAATGTTGTTCAATTATTGAAGGCTGTTGCTGCTGCTCTGTACGACGATGGTGCTGTAGTGGTTATCCATGCTATTCTAATTGACTGTAAGCTCATGCTTGAGAGGTCCTCCAACAATTATGGTCAGTACAAAGTGTTACCAGTTTTTAAATTATTTCCTTTGAACTATGTTTTTTTTTTTGTGCTTCTGGCAATTAGATGCCATTTTCCTTGAAAATTATTACTCACCAACTTATTCTTGGTTGGCTTTATAGTTGCAATATGTGCACATTTCCTATGCCTATCTTCTTCTTAAGTTTTTTTGGTAGCGAACAATTTCATAGAAGTGCAGGAACTGGCCAACTTCAAAATTTCAATGCAAGTACAGATCCATCACAAGGTCTATCAATAATAGAAAAGGATTTGTAGTTATTAGTCAAAATTCTTTTTCTATGTAGTATGAGAATTGTTATCCTATCCGAAAGGAATTGTATGCATTACGGAAATTAAAATTTTTATTTTGATTCCTAGTACCCATAATCATGTTTATGTATATATAAAACTAACTTTGGATTATCCATGGAGATAGTTAGGATAAATACCTCAAACACAAAATCCAATTCAATGATTGGTTTTTTTTAGTCAACTTGAATTCACAACCGATCAATTGTCCAGTCTCTAAAAGTATCCACACGAAGTAAATCTTTAGTACAAAGGTACCCTTAAACTTCACAAGTTTTCTAGATAGCGCAGGAGAGTGAATTCTCAATTAGAGTACTAGCTTTGTGAAGGCACTCATATTTATAGAACTAGGCAATCTTTTTTTCACGAGGATGAGTCTACCTTGTCCTACAAGAAATAGACTTTACAATTAGTGCTTAATTGTAATATGACCCTTAATCCGTAGAGATAGTTAGGATGAGCCTACCTTGTCCTACATAGCCCTGACAAAGGTCCAACTGACAGTGCACAGTGGAAAGCAGCTTTTTGTTTTGTTTTGTTTAGTTTTTTAAAATCTATAAAAAAGGATATAAAATACTATTAACATTAGTTTGTTTGCAAGGATTGATTTCTTGTGTATGTATTATAGAATATTGCTAAATCTACAGCCTACATGGTTGAATCCACTACTCTCTCACAAGGTGTGGCCCACCTATGTGAGAGGCAGGAGTGTGGATTTAACAAACTTCATATTATTTAAAAAATTGTAGACTTGATGAGGTTTTTGAGTTTTTTTATTTTTCTTTTGATTCTAGGGGGTTATCCTTTTCTCTTTACTCTCACAGGGGTATAGGTATTTATTTGTTTCGCTTTCTGTTTCCATTGGTTTTTTAAGAGAATTGCTGTCTTTATAGAAAAATATCTTGAATTTTTTAAAGATTAAAATTGAAGATACTCTTGAAACTTGTGAACATTATTTATTTATTTTTTTGCTCGGCCTGTTCTGTAAGCATTAAATTGATTCATCAGAAAGAAGACTTAGGAGTGTGTTCAGTTGAACTTGCTATTTGATAAAATGGTGTTACTATGACAAACAAGAGTGATTAAATTGTGTGGTTCCTTGGAAAAAGCTATGGAGGGTTTCCAAGATTTTTATAGTTAGTGAAATTGAAAGTTACTGCACTTTTCTAATCAGGTTAATATGTTATTCATATTAATCCAGTCGTCTCTGATTCTAATTCTTGCAAGTTGCACTTTGCTTGCTGATAGGCTCTCGGCAGTGATATATGTGATCTCATTTGTTGTTTTATGTTGGTTGCTTCTGTTATTTATTTATTATTTTATTTAAGAGACAAAATTCTTGATTATTGATTGATATGCACTTTCTAATCTTGAAAGCTTGTTATTTGATTGGTTGTCCTGAACAGATTACCTTGTTGATGAGGGTACAGAAGGCAATTCGACTTCTGATTTACTGCTGGAACGCAATCGTGAGCAGAGCCTAGTTGATCTTCTGATTCCTACTTTGGTACTGTTGGTTAATCTCCTGCAGAGATTACAGGTCTGTCATGATTTCTCTGCTGTAGTTTTTTTGTTATTTTTTTCAAGTATTATGTACTCTAGTTGGGTTTTTTCTTTCAACTTGATCATACCATATTTGCTATTTGCTGCTGAGAGAGTGGCAGTGGGGAGGAAGGTTGCAGAAATATGTTTACCTATTCTGCCTATTATAATTTGTTAGGAAGCCAAGGAGCAGCACAGGAATACAAAACTGATGAAAGCCATTTTACAATTGCATCGAGAAATGAGGTACTTTGAAATGTTGTCTTTACCTTTACATGGCGTGATGATATTTTGTGAATATAATTTAGTATATTCTTGGATTTGCAGCCCCAGGTTAGCTGCCTGTGCGGCAGATTTATCCTCTCCTTATCCTGGTTCTGCACTTGGTTTCGAGGCTGTATGCCATCTCCTTGTTTCAGCACTTGCTTGTTGGCCAGTATATGGTTGGACTCCTGGGATTTTCAATTTCCTCGTTGATAGTCTTCATGCTACTTCATTGCTGGCCTTGGGCCCAAAGGAGGCCTGCTGTTTGCTTTGCCTACTGGTATTCAAAATTTCCTTTATATTGGTGCTCTGAGGACCTCACAATCAGAGATGTATTATTTCATATTCAAGTATATATTTTGGATTGATATTTCATTCAAAAATGTGAAATGTGACTGTTCCTTTCCTGATTTTTCTTTGGCACTGCTAGAATGATCTATTTCCTGAAGAAGGTTTTGGGCTTTGGAAGAATGGAATGCCCATGTTAAGTGCTCTTAGAACATTGGCTGTTGGGACATTATTAGGGCCTCAGAAGGAGAAACAGATTGCTTGGTACTTACAGCCTGAACACCTTGAGACGCTGCTAAGCCAATTGACACCACAGCTTGACAAAATTGCGCAGATTATTCTACATTGTGCTGTCAGTGTAAGCGAGTCCTCCTCAATATGTTTACTCTTAATGTCCCCCCTTTTCCCCAGCTTCATTGCCTGGTCCGTTGTTGGGGCAGCTTGCTACTGGATGGGGCAGGGGTATAGATATGCTATTGATTTAAGAGTAACGTTTTCAGAACTGTAGCGAACTGTATTGTCAAACCGGTCAGACTGCCACTCAGTTTACTTTCTGTTGTAGAAAATTCTACAAAACTGTTTCTATTGAAACCATTTACTTCCATTGAATTCATTTAGTCGGGGCAGTTGAACCATGACTTAGTCATGGGTTTGCCAGACCATCTCAGTCTTTAACAAACAATGATAACCTCACTTTTTTGATTCCTTTCTTTCTCGTTGGATACCTCCCTACATCAATTAGTTTCTCCACCCATCATTATCATTCCTAGAATCCCAGATCCCTTTAATTGTTCAGTTTGAAGCATTAGGTTGGCTGGCTGCTTTGGTGTCTGGTAAGTCTATATCAGCTTATCTGGAATGCCACTGGTTTCTGAATCATAACAAGGCTCTGTGTCTGCTTTTCTGCACTAAGTTTTATTCGGTATGTGTGAGTGTGCACGCTCACTTATTACCGGAATGGCAATCAATTGGATTCAAATCTCTATTGAATAGCTACTAAGAGCACATATTGATGTTATTACCTATTTTGTAACAATTGATTTCTTTTCTCGTGTTTTGTGAAAAATATTTTGTAGATTACAGGGTATTATGTTTGTCTAAACCAAACCAAGTCGTAAGTCCCATCAAATGGGTCGGCTACATGAATCCTTCTTCTCCACGCGGTCCTATCAAGGCCATTTCATTAGTGAAATTAAGTAGATCCATATCTCTATTTACAATGCTAGCCAACGTTAATTTAGGCTTATCCCGTCCCTTAACACTTCCATCTACCGTTATAGCATCGCATCTCTTTACTACTGTCTCTGTTGGTCTCCGTTGAATATGACCAAACCATCTCAATCGATTCTCTCTCAACTTATCTTCTATCGGTGTTACTCCTACCCATTTCCGAATACACTCATTCCTATTTTTGTCTTGTCTAGTCTTGCCACACATCCAACTTAGTATCCTCATCTCAGCCACACTGCTGAATTGGGTTGACGTGACAGTTTAAACCACTGAATTGTTACCCAACTCCTTTTACCAGTTGACAAGCGGTCAAGTTTTGAAAAAAAATTGTTGAGTATACCTTTGCATTTTGTCTGTATCTGATAATTTTATTTTTGTTGATCAGACATTGGCAGTCATACAAGATATGCTTCGGGTATTTATCATTCGTATTGCTTGCCTGAATGGTGATCATGCACGCATACTTCTACGCCCTATAATTTTGTGGATTCGTGATCGAATTTCTGAACTATCTTTACTACTGGACACAGATGCTTACAAGGTTCTAGCTATTTCGTCTGTTACAATTTTCTTCGGTTTGGGACCTTTAATTTTTCCTATTGTTCATACTTTTTTTTTACACTTTTCAGGTTTACAGATTGCTTGATTTTCTTGCTATCTTGTTGGAGCATCCACGTGCCAAGGTTTTCTAAAATAAATTAACCATGTTAAATATAATTTTTTTATTTGGAAAACAGCTGGTGGAAAAAAGTTCTAACTTTCATGTACTGTCAGCCATTGTTATTGAAGGAGGGTGCTGTTCAGATGCTTATTAAAGTGCTCGAGAGGTGTATCGCCATCGCTGATTCAGATGAGCAGCAGTTCTGTGACAGCAGAAATATAGCTAAATTTGGGTTTTCTCAACTAACTTTTTGTGTCCCTGTATGCAAGTCCATCTCACTGATTAGTGATTCTCGGACATCTGCGCAATACATTGGGATGCATGATAGGTGAGTTTATGTTTGTTTCCAGTTATTATACTTTATTTTTCTACTTTTTCTTTTCTTAATTTTTTATTTTTCCCCCTTTCCACCCCCTTCCCCTTTTGAGAAGAGAAAACTGAGTGTGAGCACACACAAGCAATGTAGAGATACTGCAATTGACGTGTTTGCTATATTTATTTCTTGCTTTGTTAGGCGTGATCTTGAAACTTTGACGACTGAAGATTGTTCAAGGATCTTCTTGTGTCTTCTTAAGCTATGCAAGGTATATTCCTTCTTCATATAGATGTAGGATATCATATTGGAGGGGGGGGGGGGTTGTGAATTTGTTTACTGATTCTATCCATTCCAGTTGGGGCTTTATGTGTGATAATCTGGTTATTCTAGCTGTGAATTCTCTTTGTACATCATTTGTTTATTTTACTGAACATAATCTCTGTTGTTACCAATGTTTACTGCAGTTAATTATTTTTTATTTGTTAGTTTAGTGTCATCTTGAGAAATCTAATATATAGTATTAACAGTAATGTTTACACTTGAGTTTTGTATCTCTTCTAGGTGGCACATATGTGGAACTCTCTACCTTTATATTTTTATAATTCCACACCGTAAGGGTAGTGAATATTATCCATACTATTTTATTTATTATGAAACACTATTTTGGGAAGAGTTATGTTTAATATAAACTATATAATACATCTGCATTAAGAATGCTTTTTTCATCAAAATATAAACTGTTTTGTTTGGGCGCTTTCACCCAAAAGTGGGAGTTTCTTTATGTTAATTATGTATTGTATTTGATCTTCATTGTGATTGTAATTCATTCCAATAAAGTGACAGACCTAATTAATTGACCAAACCACCTACTGAAAGCTGATTTGGCAAGGCGCCTATATTTGTTGGACCCACCACTGTTGTCAGAAACCTCACAAGTGATACAGATCAACAAATGTCTAACTGGAAAATCTTACCAAATATAGAGCGTACCATTTTAGCTGAGTTTTTTGGGGGCAACAATCCATTTGGTTGAGTTTTAAAATTTTAATTTTAAAAAAAATTGAAACTAATTTGATGAAAAAATAAAAAGCAGTCATCATTTTGAAATGATTTTCTCTTTTTGGAGCAATTTAAAAAAAATTCAAAGTGTTTTATTGTTGCTTTTTTGTCAAACTATTTTTTTTTTTATTGAAAAAGAAAAAAGAAACAGATTCTGAAAACTCAGCACAGAACTAATAACAAAAAAATAATTTTGACCACCTATATTTTTTTTAATTTTTATAATTAATGCGGCGATTAGTTATTTATTCCTAGACTTATTATTCTTCACTCACCAACAAATTCTTTGCTCTAAACTGAAGAGTGGGTCAGGCTTATATTTTGCCTTAGTTTTGTTTTGTTAATTTACCAAAATATTAAGTCTAGGAATACATGACTAATCACAGGATTAATTATAAAAGAATATAGTTGGTCAAAATTAGTTTTTGTTATTAGTTTTGTATAGATTTACACACCCTGTTTGATTGAGTTTTCAGAATCTGTTTCTTATTATTATTATTTTTTTCTAAAAATAGAAATATTTTAGACAAAATAAAACAACAATAAAAAGTTTGAATATATATATTTTTAAATTGCTCCGAAAAAGAGAAAATCATTTGAAAACAAGTAGTTCTTTTAATTTTTTCATCAAATTAGTTTTAAAATTTCTAAAAAGTAAAAAACTAAAATTAAAATTGTAAAACTCAACCAAAAAATGATTGTTTTCCAAAAACAAAAAAGAAAAAGAAAGGGATCTACTAAAATTGTGTGCTTCATATTTGGTAAAATTTTCTAGTAAGGCATTTATTGATCTGTATCACTATGAGATCTTTGGCAACAGTGGTGGGTTAAATAAATATAGGTGTCTTGCCAAATCAGCTTTCGGTAGTTGGTTCGGTTAACTTATTGAATTCATTTGGCTTTATTGTAATGTCATATATTAATAAAAAACCCTTTCTTGGACCATTTTCAAGTATATATGTTTGAGTACTTCGAGTTTTCCATTTTCAAGGTTTTGTTGTGTTTCTTTCCTTATACATATTATGACTCAGGTATTGCTGTGTATTTATCTTGCCTTGTTGATGGTAATATTGCCTTTCTGCAGATCCTACCAGTTGGAAGAGGGTTGCTTGCTTGTTTGTCAACTTTTAAGGAATTAGGTTCTTGCAGTGAAGGGCAAAGTGCTTTGCTGTCTATTTTCTTGCATATTCAATCTTCTAGTACTGAGGAATATGATTCGGATAGTAGACACGAAAGGGATGGAAGCTATAATCTACTTAATGCACTTGAATGGAGGAAATCACCTCCTTTGCTATGTTGCTGGATAACTTTACTAAGATCCCTTGATTCAAAGGATGATGTGCCAGATTTTGCAATTGAGGCTGTTGGTGCATTGTCTTCTGGTGCTTTGCTCTTTTGCATGGATGGGAAAAGGTGAGTTTCTTTATACATCTGTTTACTTAATAGCCTCCTCCTTAAACATCTTTTGAAACCCTTTTATGCCCTATTCCTTTTTAAGTGTCATTTACTTGAAGGTAACCACACTTTCAATCCATTGCCTGACATCAGATTTGGTACCATAGCTGTGTGTTTCTGTCCAATGGCTGTATTTGAATGAATTGAATCCATATCACAAACCATGTGCTCCAGCTGAGGCATTTACGAACCACTTTAATAGTGCACATGCAGGAAATGAATAATGGCATCATTTTGTTTGTACAATGCAATCACTTGATGACTTGGATTTGCAAATCACCTTGCAAATAAAGATTGAGTTGATGAGCAATGAAAGAAATCCAGTAAAGCAAAATGAATACTTGTGCTAGCTTGTTGCCTTGAAAAATCACTCGGGCAAACTTTACTTTATCCCCCTGTGGTTGGGCCGCGTGCAGTTTACCCCTTGACGTTTGGAAATCACCACATAACCCCCTTGTGGTTACTGGATTGAATTGCAAAGATAATATTTCCATCTAGCATAACATTCTGTGCATGACACGCGCCTAATATGCAAATGGGCATGGAAAGATGATTTTCCCGCCGAATTAAATGACTAAATGCCCTCATCTTCATCATCAATTTCCAAAACCTACCCTCATCTTCATCATCAATATCCAGATCTGTAAATTTCTGCCTAGGAAAAAAAAAGAAAGAAAAAAGGTGGTGAAAGGACTATTAGATCTATTACAGAATCCATCGTGCAAAAATGGTTTCTTTCTACAATTAGATATAAATAGAAACACAAAGATAAAATGACAACAGAAAAAAAAATAACCGACAAAATCTTGTTTGCTTTTCTTTTCTTTTTTCCTCAAAATCTTGATTATTTTTTTCCTTCTTTTTGGGTTTCATGAACTCCAAAATTTGTGTAGGTAGGTGGTATTATTGCCTACCTTATTGACCCATTAGATATGGATGAAACCTTGCAAATGCCTGTTGAAGTGGTGAATGGCAGGTCTTTGTAGCAAGCAACCAGTTGATTGTCTGTGTGTAGATCCACTTGAATTGTTTCCCAAACCACCTTCTTAGGGTTTAACATTTTGTTTGGGAACTTAGGAGAGAAAAGAAAAGAAATGATTACTTAGGCCTTGTTTGACAAGTGACTTTTTTAGCCAAAAAGTCAAAAAGTCACTAAAAAAATAAAAAAGCCAACAATCTATACCAAAAAGTCAAAGATTCTCTTTTCTCTCTACTTTTTGCACATCTTTTCGTAAAAAGCCAAAAAGTCATCCCAAACATACTAGTTTTTTTTAGCTCATATTTTAGCCAAATAGCAAAAAATTTACTAAATTAGCCTGTTCTCAAACGAGGCCTTAAGTTACAAGAGAAAAGAAAAGAAAAGAAAAAAAATGATTGTGATTTCTCTCCTTCTTGTTTGGATAAGTAAGAAATAAAAAAAAAGAAATAATTATGATTTCTCTCCTTCTTGTTTGGTTAGATTTCATAAAAGAAAAGAAAAGAAAAGAAACTATTTTATATTATATTACCAAAATAACTTTTTTGTATTTTGTCAATCATTTTATTTCTTTTATTTTTACAGGGACAAAATTGGTATTATGAAAATATAAGAATATGTTGGTTTCTTTTCTCTTTCAATCTCTCCACTTTTGGAAAGATTGAAAATGAGGGTTATAAGAGAAATGGGTCTTTCTCCGTTTCTCTCCGTATCTCCTTGTTTCTCTCCACTTAAATTATCCAAACAAGAAAAATACATCTCTCCATTTCTTTTCTTTTATTTTCTCTCCAAATCACTCAATCCAAACATAGTGTAAAAGATCACCCGGATCACCTTTGAACCCTGGAAATATTACTCTCTCCAACAGCAGCAGAGTGGGGTGGCTCAACCAATTCAACCTAAAATCACATCAGCATCAATCAGGATTTACATTTCCCAGTGATCTCTTCACTAAACATCTATTCATATTCTAAAACCACACATGAGAGCTTTTAAAAAAGTCAAATAAAAAACATGAACAGCCCAAATCTTAGTTCTATAACGGCAGGAACTAAAATGTTGACCCAAATAAATTCTAAAAGTCAAACAATAACTAATAAAAGCAACCTCGGGACTCCAATCCCGATGTCACCGCCGACTACGCTTCCAACAATGCCGTTCACGCCTCCAGTAGGAGTCACGAGCGCAAGAGAGGTACTCCATAGATCCATCTGTGATTTCAAATTATAGTATCCGAATTCGAATCGATTTATCAACGAATTCGTATTTGAATCGATCTCAATGTTCACAGATTTGTATGTAATATTTGTGTGTTGATTTAATTGGTTTGTTTGATTGATTAATTGATTAATTAATTGGTTTGTTTCAAATTACACCACTGCATGCGCGCGCGCGCACACACACACACACACATTGGCAGAAACAATCTTCACAATTTATTGTGTAATGCTCACTAAATTTCAACAAGAGAAAAAGTGAATAATTGGTTTGAACTTTAAACTTGAAGGCAAATTGAACATTCATTAAATTATTTTTGGATAGAAATTATGTTGTTTAAATTAATTTGTTAAATCAAAACCCTAATTTCATATATCGAAATCCTAAGTTCTCTTCCTTGCTCTTCTCAAATGCACAACTGTTGAATGAAAATGCTAAACAAAGGTTATATGTATAAGGGTGAAATAGTCTTTTTACTTCTGATGTTAATGGTGTTAATTGTGCAATTCAATCCAGTAAGTAGAAGGGGGTTATGTGAGGATTTCCAAATGTCAAGGGGGTAAACTGCACGCGACCCAAACCACAGGGGGGTAAAGTGAAGTTTGCCCAAATCACTTTTGAAGTGTCTAGGACAAAATAAAAGTAGCTTTGATGAAAATGAGCATGAAGGGAGATTTTTTGATATTTTTTTCATGAGAAGGAATATCAAGTAAATGCTAAAAGAGTGAAGGAAAAGAATATCAAAACATATGTTGTATTCCCACTGTTCGAGTTATTGATCTCACTGGAAGATTCTTTGTCCTTATTTGCTCTAATACTTGATCTGTTTATCCTGGAAAAATTATGTTATACCATTATTATGATGGATTTCTGAGACAACTGTGTAATATTATATTATATTATCATCATTATTAAGACATGCTCAAATGATTACCTTGTTGCCTATGGTGAAGATGATGAAGCTTTGCCAGATCCCAAGGTATCGTTCTAGTATGTAATTGCAGAACATACTGCTTGAGCTTTTTTCCCAGATCCAAGCATGGACATTTATTTGGTTTATTTAATCTAAATAACTTCTTTTTTTATTTTTTATTTTTTAAAGTGAAAACAAATGGGGCTATGTGTGGTTGATACTGCATAACAACCACCAGTTACAACTGAAACCTATTTAAAGTTCCTTCAATTTTAAAGAGTGACCTCAATTGATGAACACGCTTTTTGGTGAAAGATGGTTTTGAATCTTAAATGTAAGGACAAATCAATATCGAGTTTTTCAATTTTAAACATTCCGTGCTTAAACACATCTGCAGTACCATTAATTCAGCACTATTGTTAAAATTACTTAGACTGTCAATTTTATCAAATGGACCGTACTTAGGTTGTCAATTTTATCAAAATTCCCTGTACTTTATGCTATTGGTATGTTGAATTCTTGTCAACATTTATGTTTTTATCAAGATGATATGAGATGAAGGAATAATTTCTCTATTAATCTTTCACTTTTGTGCAATTACACTAATGTGCCCTAGTTATATTATCCTCTTTAATGAGTTTCTTCTAGAAATACGACTACTTCATGCATAATTTGTTTTTTTCTTTTTCTTTTTCTTTTGTGTTTTGCATCTTTTTCTATTTTACGTGGATGTAGAGTTCTTGACTTAAACTTATTTGTGAAGTATTCAGATGAAGGTTTTTACACTTTTTAACCTCATCACCACCACTTTTGTCTCTTCCAGAGTTCCATTGTTCAATGTGAATTAATTTTAGTGGAAATTTTGATGTCATTCAACATACTAAATCTGCATTTTGGTTTTTTCCCTTTTCAGTTTGAACTTGGACAGGGTTGTGGCACTGAAGTATCTTTTTGGGCTTCCTTCTGATATGAGTGGCACTGATGATTTCCCTGAAGAGAACATAAAGTATGTCGACGATTTGACAACCTTGCTATGCTCCAGGATAAGTGATGATGACTATCCAGCTGATTCCGATATGAATTCAACTCTTTATCAGGTATAATTTATTCCGATTTACCTATCCCCCTCAACACATGCAGAGAAACCCCCCCCCCCAAAAAAAAAAAAAAAATCTTGTATAGTTCAGACCACCTAGGTAAAGGGTACAAGAATGGGAAATACGGTAGGTTACATGCTCTAAAATGCAGTGCGTCAGCAGTAGGCTTATAAGACAGCTTATGCTTATTGATGTATATCTAGATATGAGAGTGATTCTCCTTTAAAATGTTGGTGTTTATGGAACATATAATTGTTGGAATGAACAAGCTCTTGATTTGTTTAATGAAATTTGTTGTGATTGGATTAACTGTTCATGGAAAAACTGGGCGAGAAATAGGAAAGGTTTTTGTCTCTTAAAGAGTGGGCGGAGGGGTTGTTTCGCTAAATTTAAATGCAACTGTACCTTGTTTTGGAATGAGCATTCCAATACCTAAACCACTAGGCTATGAGTGCTTTCTAGTAATTTCTCCCCCACCCCACCCCACCTCATTCCTCTCTTCTTTTTCTCCCTTCCGTTCCAAAATGCTATGTTTGAATGCTCAACTGGGTTATCATTTTGTGCAGGTTAAGGAGTCTGCAAAATCGTTATTGGTTTTGTTGCAAAAACCTTCTGGCTCGGTAAAGACAGATGATATAATTTCTGGTGCTTTGTCTTCAAGTGATGTTCATGTTTCTTCAAAGATGCATAAAAGAGCTGATGGAAGTGCTGGAAAGGCTGAAGATTACAACTTAGGTGGACTTGCAGACAAATTTCTCTGGGAATGTCCTGAAAACTTACGTGATAGGTTGTCACAGTCAGCTCTTCCGTTGAAACGGAAAATGCCATCTCTAGAGGGTGCAAATAGGCGTCCAAGAGGAGACAATGCCCCCAATGAAACTGTGGTCCAAAATGCATTCTCCACTCGATCAGGGCCAACTATTGCTCCATCTGGCCCTAGTCGCAGGGATACCTTCAGGCAACGGAAGCCTAATACCAGTAGGCCCCCTTCTATGCATGTGGATGATTATGTTGCTAGAGAAAGAAATGTTGATGGCACTACTAGTTCCAATGTAATTGCAGTACCGCGAGTTGGATCTAGCAGCGGGAGACCTCCATCTATTCATGTGGATGAATTTATGGCCAGACAAAGGGAGCGCCAAAATCCTGTTGGAATGGCAGTTGGTGATGTGGTAGCACAATTGAAAAATGCACCTCCTGAAAGTGACACAGATGCAGACAAGTCCAACAAACCTAGGCAGTTGAAACCGGATCTTGATGATGATCTTCAGGGAATAGATATAGTCTTCGATGGTGAGGAGTCAGAATCTGATGATAAATTGCCCTTTCCTCAGCCGGATGATAATTTACCACAACCTACATCTGTTGTGGTTGAGCAAAGTTCTCATTCAATTGTGGAAGAGACAGAGGGTGATGTAAATGAGAGTAGTCAGTTTTCTCACTTGGGCGCTCCATTAGCATCTAATGTTGACGAAAATACCCTGAGTGAATTTTCTTCTAGGATGTCTGTTTCACATCCTGATATGCCATTGACTCGAGAACCAAGTGTTTCTTCAGATAGAAAATATTATGAGCAGTCTGATGACACAAAGAATGTTCCAATTAAGACCTGTAGCGGGTTTGAGTCTGATGTTGTACCAAGTAGTTCTAAGTTTTCTTCGGTTTATAATAAAACTTCTGTGCCGCCTGTACAATTACCAATTGATTCTAGAATACCTCCGCACTTGCATTCAAATATTAGTCATCAACAAACTGGTAATGTACCATTAGCTAGCGGTTCCCAGAGAATTTATGACCCTAAATTTCAACCGCCTTTACCTCCAATGCCACCACCTCCAACAATCTCACCAGTACCATCTCAAAATCCGGATCCTGTTCCAAGTCAGTCATCTCCCTTTGTTAATGCTATGGCAGATTTGCAGGCACCCCCACCTACAGGCTTTCATGTAAGAGAAGAAATACCTTTCAATCAAAATTCTTCTGCATGCTTGTTTTGTCCAGCTAGTTTATCTATTAATATGGGGTCCAGGGATTTAAATATCATTACGTATTGGTATTTTGGATTTCTAATAGCGTTATTCATCGATATATCGGCCAATATTAACCAATATATGACTGAATCACTGATACCGATATATATCCCTATACCGTTATTTAAAACCATGATGGGGTCACATTCTCTGTTTTGTTTTGCAGGTTCAGAAGGAGTATCTATCTGCATTGAGCAACAGTTCAGCCTCTATGTCATCTTCCAGTTTTGTGTCAGATTCCAAGTATGGTTGGGGTTCAATCTCTTCCCCTGGTGGATCATCTAGGCCTCCGCCACCGCTCCCACCTACACCACCACCGTACACAGCCACCTCTACTTTCCCATCTTTAAAACCTTCGGCATCACAATCTTCTGTGTACAATCAAACTAGTATTGGGACAAGTGAGCTCTTGCAGACTTCTGTTGCACCTTTAAACGACCCTCGCATAGGAAACCTTTCTGCATCGGGGGCCCTACTCGCGTCTTACCCACCACCTCCACTAATGCCACCATTGCTTTTCAGTAGGCCCTCTACGATGCCCGTAAGTCTTTATGGAAGTAGCCCAACTCCACATCAGGGTGAAAATCTGCCTAGCATTTCACAGAATCTTTCGATTCCTTTATCTTCCATTCAGTCCATACAACCTCTTGCTCAATTGCAGCCGCTGCAACCACCCCAAATTCTTCGTCCTCCTCAACCGCCTCAGCATCTTAGGCCTCCAATCCCGGCTTCACCACAGTCAGAGCAAGGTGGTGCGTCTTTGCTACAGAGCCCTGTTCAAATGCAGTTACAAATGTTGCAACAATCCCAAGTTTCTCCGCTTAATGTATATTACCAACAACCACAACAAGATAGCTTTTCACATCCACAGCAACTGTTACAGCAACAGCAACAGCAACAGCAACAACAAGGTGAAGGAACATCCCAGCAGGAACAAGATTCTGCAATGTCGTTACAGCATTTCTTCAGTTCCCCAGAAGCTATTCAGGTGTTTGAAACTCGACTACCAGAATTTTCTGTGTTGATTTCTTGTAGGAGTTTTTGTAGGTCTGATGATTACTATTCTTCTTTCATGGCAGTCCCTATTGAGTGACCGGGATAAACTTTGCCAGCTTTTAGAGCAGCATCCAAAATTAATGCAGATGCTTCAGGTTCAATACTAATCTCTCTCTCTCTCTCAAGCACAAACACGCACACACACTCAGGCATGATGCCCATACCTCAACCTACCAGTTAACATCCACACATTTTTTGCTCTACTGTTTTTCCCTTTCTGCAATATTCTGATCTACTTTGTAATGGTAATAATAGCCTGTTGCTCAATGGTGATGAAAGTGGAGATGGTATCGGTATGATAGACAATTGTAAATATTGACTCCCTTTTTGAAGTGGGAAATTCCAATAATTTTGTGTTGTTATCATGTATTTATTCCAACCTAATTTGTGTATCGGACACTTTGTCTTATATGGGATTCGGCATTGCACTCACGGTTTGTTTTTAGAGCGGCAGGGAGTGGCATTGTGTACCTAACAATCTCTTCCTCAGGATGATGCTCTTGGGACTCGAACCTATGTCAACTTGGCTTTCATACCACTTGTTGGACCGAGTTCCACCATCTCTCCTAAAACCAATTGGTGTTAGGAAGGGCTTCACTTAATCTTTTATGGCATTCAACATCGTGCTCGCATGCTTGTTTTTTGGTTGGTCACAGGGAGTGACATAGTGTACCCAACCAAGTGCCTTGTTTTAGTTCGATGTGTTACTTTTGTTGACTTGTCTGAGGGAAACCAAGTCCAAGTGGCTGTTCCTTAATGATGGTTCATTTTTTCAGTAGTCCTGCTGCCCCTTTTACTAAGCTCCTTTGCCTGTTTATTGCAATTTTGCCTTCTACACATTGAACATTAATTGTGAAATTCCAAAGCTTTTACAATCATTTAATCTCTTCTACACTAATTCTGTACTTATGCACAAGATTTGTTTGTTTGTTTGTTGTGGCATGTCAGGAAAGGTTGGGCAAACTATAACTATGATATGAAAACAGATGGTAAACTTGTACCGTAATCTGGTTACTCTTTCAGCCTGTGCAGATCACATTTGGAGTTGGTATCAAATGACATTCCTCACGCCGAGTACTATTTTGTGCCCAAAGAGGCTTCATTGTTTTGGAATGTCAGACATGCTTGTGGGCATATCCTGTCTTCTACACTAAAATTTGTATCAGTGAACTGTATATTTTTCAATTAGTTGAAATTTTCTTGCCTTTAAATTTTTTGTTTCCATTTTTATTTTTTTGTTTATATTATGGGAATCTCCTGTTGTTATATGAATATTACCACCCCCAACTATGGTTGTATTTCTGTATGCTTTGCCGATTAGTTTAAAGTTGAACTTACTGGGGACCGAATATGCTTTTTATTGTGCTGTATTTTTACTACAGTCCCGTTACAGAGCCCAAATTGCTCGAGCTCGAATTTGCCCGAATCCAAAAACGATGTCGTTTTGGAATTATTATTTATTTGTTTATTTATTTTTTCTTTCCCTCTTTCCTTCGTAGTAACTCACAGAAGAAGAAAGAAGAAAGAAAGAAGAGGGGAGCAGAGAAGAAAGAAGAAGAAAGAAGAAAGAGAAAGAGAGATCAACCAGCATCATCAACAATCCAAGAGGCATCAAACCCAGATTTTGATTCATCATCATCAGATTTTGATTCAAACCCAGATGTGTACATATCATCATCATCATCAGATCTGTACACATCACCATCAAAATAAAAAAAAATTGGATTCAAACTCAGATTTTGATTATCATCATCAACATGCCTCTGTACCCGTCGGTGATAGCAGCTCTGGTGTGGCGCCGGAGATCTACACAGATCTCTTGCCTATCCCTCTTCTCTCTTCCCCTTTCTCTCTCCTTGTATTTCTCTTTCTCCCTCTGCTCTCTCTTCTCTCTTTTCCTCCCTCTGCTCTCTCCCTCTTCTCTTTCTCTTCTCTTCTCCTTTCTTTCTCTCGCCTCTGTGTCTTTGTTAAAAAACAGGAAAATGCCTGTCTCTGTTAAAAAACAGGAAAATGAAGAAAAAGAAAACAAAAGCAAGAGAAGAAAAAAAAAAAATGAAATCCAAAACGACATCGTTTTGGGTTTCGAGCCAACCATTTTGGGCCCTCAAACAATTTTTTTGTTACTATTACCTTGTGGATGCAACATAGTTTCAATGTACTAATTGTTGAATTATCTATCTCTTTTAAAATTATTAGTCCTATAAATTTTGATAATTTTCAATTTAGCCCCTATAGTTTCAATTGTGAAACATTGACGCTTGGATTTTTGGAATTTGGATCATGTGCAATGCCTACAAAGTTTCAAAATGACATTTTGGAATGACTAAAACAAAAACAAAAAAAAACAGAATTCCCTTTTGCCTCCCCAGTTGCCACCACCACCTCCTAGGGCAACCTCCTCCACCTTCACTCATCCTTTCTTGCAACCCTTACCCCACTGGCGATCAGGGACAGATCCGGGATTATGACTTGGGAGTTATTCTATAGTTTAAAAAATTGAGAGAATATTCTACAAAATTTTAAAATTATCTAAAAAAAATTTAGGGGTGCGAACTCTTATAATTTTAAATTTTTGAAATTTTTTTAATATAATATATGATATTTTTCAAATTTTTGGAGGTGCGGCCGCCTCCCTAACCCCCTAGATCCTAACCCCCTAGATCCATCATTGCTGGCGACCCTGTTCCCCATCCCTTGTTGCAAGCCTGCAACCACTCTTGTAAAGCCCTCTGATGACCACCCTCACACACCCCAAACCCTGCCACCACGTTTGGTTTCAACTCGTTTGGGAAAAAACTTTGAATTGGTTTCAACCGCAATGATTTTTAATTGATAGAATTTGATGGAGAAGGGGGCTTTCTTGTGATGCTGGAATGGTGGGCAGCATGCGACCAATGATGATGTTGATATGGTGGTTGGATGGTTTGACGAAAAGTTAATTGTCATGTACTTTTGTTAGTTGTTTGATGATGTTTATTTTTATTTTTTTATCATGCCAAATTCAATTTTAATGTTACGCCTATCATTTAATTTTATCACTTTTCCATCCTACTTAACAATGTTTTGAAAATCAAACCGGATTGGTTTGATCGGTCAAGTGACTGAAATTTGATAATTATAATATAACTCTTGCAATTTAGTAGGGGTCAATAGTTTAAATTTCTTCATATAAGTACACGGATATGTTTTTTTTTTTTTAATTTTTTTGTTTCAATGTCTCAATACATTTTATACTATTAAGTTAGGAAAATTTAGTCAAAATCTTTCCATTGGACTCTTAGTCCTCGTTTGGGAACAAGCTAATTTAGTAATTTTTTGGCTATTTGGCTAAAAAGGTAGGTAAAAAAAACTTGTATGTTTGGGATGACTTTTTGGCTAATTACGAAAAGATGTGCAAAAAGTAGAGAGAAAAGAGAATCTTTGACTTTTTGATATGGGTTGTTGGCTTTTTGGCTAATTTAATAACTTTTTGACTAATTGACTAAAATAGTCTCTTGCCAAACGAGGCCTTATTTGGTGAAAATGATAGCCAAATTTACGTTGTTTTGTAAACCCCCTAAGGAGGAGGTGTATAATTGAGTAAGGACAAGATAAAATATATATTTTTTTCTTGAAAAATATTGCCAGAGTAACATGTTATTATTTACATCAATTTTGACGGTAATAATTTTTTTAATAAATAATTTCATAGTCAACATGGATCTTATTTGATAGATTTTGATAAGAGAATTCTAAAAATATTAATTTTATGAAAAATCTAATTCTAGATTAAAAGTTATATTAGTGGTATATGTTTGACTTTTTAATTATTATTATTTTTTACTTTTTTTTAATGTATTAAATTTTATTATGAGAAGGTTTTGATCAAATCCCATTAAATTAAGTTTTAAAATTCAATTGTCTCAGAATTTTGTATGATGTAGTGATTAAGCCCTGGTTTGGCTATCATTTTAGGGCTAAAAAAGTACAAAATGACAAAATAGGATAAATAAATTAATAAGACAAAATATAACATCAAACTCATAATCATTACATTTTTTCTCTCATAAAAATCAAAAAATTCAATCTAAACGAGGCTAAAAAAGCCAAACTAAAAAGTCACAACATAAAAAAATTAATTATATTAGCTAATGTCAAACGAAACTTAGAATTGCTCTTAACACAAGAGACAGGAGGATTTGAAGGCAAAACATGTACAATGTAAATAGAGAGAGAGTGTGTGTGACGCGGGTTCGATTCCCGCTATCCGCCCCATGGTGAAGAATAAAATAAAAAAAAGATTTTCCCTTTGAGTGGATTTCATACGCACAAACAAAAAAACCATTTCGTTTTATGGTTGTTCCATAGAAGACATTCCAACCAATTCTCAAAAAAATATAAATTTGTATCAACTTAGAAACTAAAATGGTAAAAATACTTTTAAATTCCACTAATATGTAGCTAGTTCTTAACTTTTTGTTTTTCAGATAATTGTAATTTTAAGAGTAAATGAGAAGGCAATTCTGGATCAGTTCGATTTCAGTGTTTTTAATGGATTGAAATACGAAATTAATTATTAATTATTAATTTTAATCAGAATCATATTATTAAGTTAACAAAAATGTTAGAGATTCTAAAAGTTTTACTAAATTTTTTATCAAATGTCTCATATAAGTGTGAGACTCACATGAGACCCACATAGTATAAATCCTATGTTTGGCATTTCTGTGGTCCGTAGCATTGCTCTTAAGCTAATTACTTCCCCATTTTTCCTATGAGAATCTTAAATAGTGTTTGGTAGAGTTTTAAAATTATGATTTGAATGTGAAGTTGTATTTTGAGTTTTTGAGTTTTTAAATTATAATTTGAAAAGATAAAATTTGTTTGGTTATGAATTTTGAAAAGAGTTTTAAAAAGAGATTTGAATTGAGTTTTGAATTTTTGAAATGAATTTTTAAATTAGAAAAGTTGTTTGATTCAAAAAACTTATAACTCATAATCAAACACACAACTCAAAATTCTACTAAAAGCTCGTAACCAAACTCTTTTTAAAATTCAATTCCAAAAAATAATTATTGATAAAAACAATTTTTTTATTTTAAAAAAAATTAAAATTTCGAAAATATTTTTTATGTAAAATATAAAAAATATATATTATTTTTTGTTAAAAAAATCAAAAACAAATTCCCTTTATTTATTTATTTATTTTTTGCTCTCCAAATAACAGGTGCCAATTGTCCACCCAAAAAAAAAAACATGTTTCGATCAACTGGCCGAACGTCTGGAAGAATGATTGGGTAGACTTAATTTGCTCTTTTCAAAATTCAAAATTCAAAAAACTCTCCACTCTCTAAACATGATTTGAAATGAGTTTTGAAATGTGACATTGAAATCAATTTTTGAAAACTTAAACCAAACAAAGCATTGAAAAACACACTGGAATCATGTTTCTAGAGTTACTCCAAACACAGCCTTAAATTCCTAAAAGAATGTTATTTATTTAAGGGTGTGTTTGATTGGACGGACTGGAAAAAGGGGATTAGAATCCATCGGACTTGAGTCCTGGGACTGTGAATCCCCCGGACTATTTGGTCAGATTGGATATGTATCCTGTGTTTGTTTTTTCATGGGATTAGATGTCTGGATAGGACTATTTTCAGTGAATCCAACGTTTGGTTGGACGGACTGGATAGTTTAGCTTTTTTAGCTATTTTAGCCTGAGCTAAAAAGCTTGGTTTGGGAAGGGCTTTTTAGCTTTTTGGTTTTTTTGACTTTTTTTGTGAGAGAAGAGTGTAATGATTATGGGTTGGATGTGATGTTTTGTTTGTTATGGCTAAAATAGCCTATTTTGTTTTTTGTGGCTAAAATAGCCAAAAAAGCCCAACCAACTTCTTCCCAAACGGTGCCTAAATGTAAAAAACAATAATTTGATTTACAATATTTAAAATTTTATTTGTTTCCGATTGAGAATTACCGATGAAATGAAACACTTGATTAGTATTGACACAAGTATTTTATTACTAGTAATTAAGGGTGTGCACGGTACAGTTCGAATGATTTAAGAATAAAATTATAAATTGAATGGCAGATTAACAGATTGACAGATTGCTGTTTCGGTAGTTTTGGACGAATTGGTGGATTGAAAAATATTTTAACCAATTATTAAACATTTGCATAATATATAACACTAATTTGAATAATATTTTATATATATATATATATAATATGAACTAATTTTACATAATATGTTCCATATATATAATTACTAATCTGTAACAAATTTCACAACTTAAATGTTCCTCACACTCATTTTTACTTTAATATTTCATTAGAAGTTAAAAAATTTATAGGTATTAACTATAGGGGAACGGAGCAGTTTGGAAGATGAATTATAAATTTTAAAATTTAATCCGTGGTTTAAGGATAGTATTTTGTACAACCTTACTAGTAACCACATAATTAGTAATTATATTTTTATTCTATTTCAAAATTATTGTCATTGAAAAATTGCCGTAATGTAATTATCAAAAAGGTTCACTATTTAGAATAATGAAATATGCTAAATTTATAAAAAAATATAAAAAATCAACCTATTTTCTTTATATTTTTAAATATTTTTTTTCATAAAAAATTAAAAAATTCAATTCCTAAAACGACTTTAATCCAATTTAATTTAGATAAAATTACAAAAAAAAAAAAAAAACTTAAGATTAGATCATTATAACAAAATAAATTTTGAATTTTTAATTTTGTTAATTAAAAATTCTAATTTTTTGATTTATTTTCAAAATAAAAAAAAATATTTTAAACATTTTATGCACACTTATAATACAGTAGTCTAATGGATAAATACCATTTTTTATCTATTTTACTTAATAAAAATAAATAAATAATTTATATGAAAAATAAATTAAAAAATTAAAACTAAAATTGTTAAATTAAAAATTTATTTTATTTTAAAATTTTTCTCTTTACTCCGCCGTCAGAATCGTCGATCGTAAACTAAACCCTAAAAACCATAAACCCCCCACCGCCTATATATACAAACGCAACGCATATATATATATCATCAGAGTTGTAATCTAAACTCTAAATCCCCTAAATCCACCTCCTATATATATATAACGCATATAACCTGCTTCTAGGGTTTCTACGGCGGAGGCCGGTGAACCGACGGTGGCGGCGATGGTGGCTCTTTGCGATTGCTCGATTTGTTTGTAAGGATATAATTATGTAGATTTATATATGTTTAGTATATTTTTTTGAAGATTGATTGGGGTTTTCTTCAACCCTTTGGTGTTGCATAGGCCTTATATGATCTGGGTATAACTTTTCTTCAATTTATTTGTGGAAAAATCTGGTAATGCTGTCAGATCATATCAAGCAAAACACTTTTCACTGTCTAGTGGAGTCATGAATGGTGTAAATTTACACTTTTTGTTGTTATCCCTTGTTCTTTTCATTTTGAGGGATATACATAATAAGTGGATGCTAACTATTTTCTTTGTTTTATTTATTTTATTCATCAAATTAGTGAACCAACTTGTCAGATCAGTCAGTCCAATTGTAAATTTAAGAGTATACTTTAGACCAAGTTATTCTTGTTTCATAGGTTTGGTACATTGCTGGAATTGTTCATATAATAGTTTGAATACAATGTTTCAGAAATAAATCATGTTTTGCAGCTGCAAATATCAAACATGTAATGATCGGGTTTAATGTATTTTCTTTATATATTAAGTTTATCTTATTCGCTACATTTGTGGTACAACTCTTTGATATAATCTGTTGTTGTAATTGGAATTTATTTGATCGAAAGTTCCATTCATAATGCATCTATTGTATTGATTGATTATTTTTTGTTTTTATTTTGTTGGTTTGGTGTTGTCTATAGAATTTCGATGATGATAAATCTAAGGCTTGTTTCTCAAAACATTCGCGGTGGCCGACTAAGATCTTTCGCCTTCGCCAGGCTTGAGAGATGGTGCTGCTTCATTCCTTCCTTGGATGTCTGAGATATTAATTGCAACTTGATATTAATTTTTTTTCATAAATAAAGCTTAATTGATTGATTTTGTTCACAATGCATCTATTGTATTGATTGGTTATTTTTGTTTTTATTTTGTTGGTTTGCTGTTGCGTATACAATTTCAATGATGACAAATCTAAGGTTTGTTTCTCAAAACATTCGTGGTGGCCTACTAAGATCTTTCGCCTTTGCAAGGCTTGAGAGATTGCGCAGCTTCATTCCTTCCTTGAATGTTTGAGATATTCATTGCTACTTGATATTAATTTGTTTTCATTAATAAAGTTTAATTGATTGATTTTGTTCACAATATGTATCTACATTATTGATTGTTTATTTTTTGTTTTTATTTTGTTGGTTTGGTGTTGTGTATAGAATTTCTATGATGACAAATCTAAGGCTTGTTTCTCAAACCATTCGCGGTGGCCGACTAAGATCTTTCGCCTTCGCCAGGCTTGAGAGATTGTGCTGCTTCATTCCTTCCTTGGATGTCTGAGATATTCACTACTACCTGATATTAGTTTATTTTCATAAATAAAGCTTGATTGATTGATTTTGTTCACAATATGCATCTACAGTATTGATTGTTTATTTTTGTTTTTATTTTGTTGGATTGGTGTTTTTCTTATTTTGTTTGTTTTTATTTTGTTGGTTTGGTGTTTTGTATAGAATTTCGATGATGACAAATCTAAGGCTTGTTTCTCAAAACATTCGCGGTGGCCAGCTAAGATCTTTCGCCTTCGCCAGGCTTGAGAGATTGTGCTGCTTCATTCCTTTCTTGGATGTTTGAGATATTCATCGCTACTTGGTATTTATTTATTTTCATCAATAAAGCTTAATTGATTGATTTGTTCAAAATATGCATCTACAGTATTGATTGGTTATTTTTTGTTTTTATTTTGTTGGTTTGGTGTTGTGTATACAATTTCGATGATGACAAATCTAAGGCTTGTTTCTCAAAACATTCGCGGTGGCCGACTTAGATCTTTCGCCTTCGCCAGGCTTGAGAGATGGTGCTGCTTCATTCCTTCCTTGGATATCTGAGATATTCATTGCTACTTGATACTAATTTATTTCATAAATAAAGCTTAATTGATTTATTTTGTTCACAATGCATTTATTGTATTTGATTGATTATTTTTTGTTTTTATTTTGTTGGTTTGGTGTTGTGTATAGAATTTTGATGATGATAAATCTAAGGCTTGTTTCTCAAAACATTCGCGGTGGCCGACTAAGATCTTTCGCCTTCGCAAGGCTTGAGAGATAATGCTGCTTCATTCCTTCCTTGGATGTCTGAGATATTCACTGCTACTTGATATTGATTTATTTTCATAAGTAAAGCTTAATTGATTGATTTTGTTCACAATGCATTTACGGTATTGATTGGTTATTTTTGTTTTTATTTTGTTGGTTTGATGTTGTGTATACAATTTCGATGATGACAAATCTAAGGCTTGTTTCTCAAAACATTCGCGGTGGCCGACTTAGATCTTTCGCCTTCGCCAGGCTTGAGAGATGGTGCTGCTTCATTCCTTCCTTGGATGTCTGAGATATTCATTGCTACTTGATACTAATTTATTTCATAAATAAAGCTTAATTGATTGATTTTGTTCACAATGCATCTATTGTATTTGATTGATTATTTTTTGTTTTTATTTTGTTGGTTTGGTGTTGTATAGAATTTCGATGATGATAAATCTAAGGCTTGTTTCTCAAAACATTTGCGGTGGCCGACTAAGATCTTTCGCCTTCGCCAGGCTTGAGAGATAATGCTGCTTCCTTTCTTCCTTGGATGTCTGAGATCTTCATTTCTACTTTCTATTAATTTATTTTCATAAGTAAAGCTTAATTGATTGATCTTGTTCACAATGCATTTACTCTATTGATTTGTTATTTTTGTTTTTATTTTGTTGGTTTGGTGTTGTGTATACAATTTTGATGATGACAATTCTATGGCTTCTTCTCAAAACACTCGCGGTGGCCGACTAATATCTTTCGCCTTTGCCAGGTTTGAGAGATAATGCTGCTTCATTTCTTCCTTGGATGTCTGAGATATTCATTGCTCTACTTGATATTAGTTTGTTTTCATAAAGAAAAATTAATTGATTGATTTTGTTCACAATGCATCTACTGTATTGATTTGTTATTTTTGTTTTTAATTTGTTGGTTTGATGTTGTATATAGAATTTCAATGATGACAAATCTATAAGGCTTGTTTCTCAAAACATTCACAGTGGCCGACTAAGATCTTTCGCCTTCGCCAGGCTTGAGAGATAATGCTGCTTCCTTCCTTCCTTGGATGTCTCAGATATTCATTTCTACTTTATATTAATTTATTTTCATAAATAAAGCTTAATTGATTGATCTTGTTCACAATGCATTTACTCTATTGATTGGTTATTTTTGTTTTTATTTTGTTGGTTTGGTGTTGTGTATACAATTTCGATGATGACAATTCTAAGGCTTGTTTCTCAAAACATTCGCGGTGGCCGACTAAGATCTTTCGCCTTCGCCAGGCTTGAGAGATAGTGCTGCATCATTCCTTCCTTGGATGTCTGAGATATTCATTGCTCTACTTGATATTAGTTTGTTTTCATAAAGAAAAATTAATTGATTGATTTTGTTCACAATGCATGTACTGTATTGATTGGTTGTTTTTGTGTTTAATTTGTTGGTTTGATGTTGTATATATAATTTCAATGATGACAAATCTTGGGCTTATTTCTCAAAACATTAGCTGTGGCTGACTATGATCTTTTGCTTTTGTGGGGCTTGAGAGATACTGCTGCTGGTGAAATCCTTCCTTGGATGTTTGAGATCCTCAGTTATAATTTGATATTGCTTTTTCATAAATACACGCTTGTAGTTAATTTTGGATATATTGCGCCCATATTTGTTTTGATTGAATATATATATATATATATATTTTAATTTTCTGTTTGGTCTTCTATATTCAATGTCAATGATAACAAATGTAAGGCTTTTTTCTCGTAACATTCTCGGTGGGTGATTAAGTTTTTTTGCGTGTCACGCTCAAAAGATAGTCCTGCTTCAGTTTTTCCTTGGATGCCTGAGCTCTTCATGGCAACTTATTATTGTGTTTCATAAATAGTGGAATTGATTGATTGTGTCTATACTGCATCTACTGCATTGATTGATATACAAGGAACCCAATGCTGCATGAAAGGTATACCCTGAAATCAAAATATACAAGGAGCCCATAATGTCCTTCATTTGTGGAAGTAATTTTCTTTTGGTTTGGGTTCTTGTTGCTTTGTTTGGTTGAGGCTGGTTAAAACCAAGTTGATAATTTTGGGGACTAGGTTGGCTACCACCTGGACCTGCATGGAATGCCCCTCATATTTCTTGTTATTACTCTTTCATTGGTCAACTGCAAGTTAGATGTCCTCAGTTGTCCCTCAGAGTGGTTGTTTCTTACCTTTGCCTTAATTCAGCCGTTTTTATGGTGCTCAATCCCTACCCCCTTTCTTCTTGTTGGTATATCTTTCATTGGTGAATCTGTGACCTATTTTATATATTTTTTTTAAGTAATGATGCATGATTTTGTTGCATGCTGTTGTAACTAATCATTTGGTTGTAAGTGGCAGCTACTGCAGCTTTAGCTTGTTCATATATGGTAACACAGCAGAAGATCCGGGACAGCTCAGCATAGAAGTTGATTTAGTTCGCGCTTTAACTGATGATTTTTTCTGTTGTGGGAAAGCTTGAAGATCTCCCACCTGCACTACAATCTGACTAATCTGACAATTGAGGAATTGATATCTTCCCCAAAAGCATCATCTCTAGAAGTTGTTGCATCCGATATTTCTGTTGTGATTAAACAGTTGTTAGAGTTGACATTTGAGACTTTGCAGTCGTTGAACCTTGGTGGTGCAATCAATAAAGTTATTAGTTCTTTTGTGTCAGCAGCCTCGTCTGCATTGCTGGGATTGTTGTGCTATCAATTGGGAACAATCTTTGGAGGGAAGGTCTAGAAATTGTGTTCTTGCTGAGGGTATAAAGGATCTGTTGGATATCTACTATGCCTTCAACATAAATCAGGAAACCTTTCACCTGAATCCTTTGCAGACAGTACATTTCTTGATTCTGAGGCTGATGTGGCTACTTCCAAACAGTTGGTAAATACTTTCATTTTGATAGGGGACTTCATGAAGTCCTGGGCATCCTCAACTTGTTTTCCTTGAGCTTGTTCCAGCTGCTCTTAAACTTGTTTTCCTTGAGCTTGCTTCTCTTGATATTTGTCAGAGGGTTTGTGTGCGCATTTCTAGAGTCCTAACCTTGTTAAGTGATGCTCTATGGTCATGAAGTTCACGTTAGTAAGACATACAGCCAATTGTTTTCATTGAGCTTAGTCCAGCTGCTCTTAAACTTGGAAAGAATCATGTTATGTATGTACTTTAGGCCGTGATTTGTTATTTTCTCACATCTCACATTGGCTCTTAAAACATTTGTAATATTTTTTTGATTTGCTCACAAAATCCACTTTTGTCCATTTGTGTTTTAATAACTTTGCGAATTTTTTTAGCTCTTAACTTTGATTTTTTAATATGTTTTTTTGATTTTTTAATTTTTTTAGTAATTTTTTAAGTTTAATTTTTTGATTAATGCAAGAGGTTTCCAAACCAATCTAGAATCCAAAATACCAACTCAAATTCCAAACCTTCTATATTTTTTTCCCTTGCAGATTCATCCGCAAACTTTCACTGTCCTTTTACCGCCAGTTTTGCCTCCAACCTTTAAAACCTCTCTTCACCTCCATCACTTCCCTATGCTGTATCACTTTGCCTATCCCACCCCTACATCATGAATCCCCTTAACAAACGCGAAAACTTCACTGGTATATCTAAAATTTTAATAATAGAAGTTTTTATATTACGTGGTTGTTAATGTTACATATTTTTTTTTTTTCTTCCAAAATTAGATAGAAGTTAGTTTTGGAAGTAAATTGAAAAAATTATAAACATTGAGGGCCAAAATAAAAATAAAAATTAAAAGTAAGTGTGAGAATCTTAATTGAAGGGGACAAATTGTAATGACGATATGTTAATATTCGTTGATTAAAATGACGCAGTAATATAAATAAATTATAATTCTAATGTCACAATATTAATTAAAATGTGACAACACTTAAAGTTTCAGGGTGTTTGTTGATGATTCAAAAACAATTGTGATCACAATTTTCAATTTTTCAAACCAAAATTTTTGACTTCAGGGTGTTTGTTGATGATTCAAAAACAATTGTGATCACAATTTTCAATTTTTCAAACCAAAATTTTTGACAAATTTTTATTAATTGAATTAAATTGATACAAAATGAAAAATTAAGAGAAACCAAAAGGAAAGAGCTTTATTAAAAATTGGATGTAATTATTTTGAGGAGAGTGAATTGACTTCTTTTTTTTCTTTTTTTGGAAGGGCATCATCAAGGAAAAGGCTTCGTTTTGAGTACAAAACAATATCAAAATTGTCAAAACGACGTCGTTTTGACAATTTTGAGCCATTTGAGCCACAAAAATTGTGGCCCTCAAACATTTTCCTTATTAAAAATTGGATGTATTTATTTTGAGGAGAGTGAATTGACTTCTTTTTTTTCTTTTTTTGGAAGGGCATCATCAAGGAAAAGGCTGCAGGGTGCATGCAGTATCAATCTGTTTAGTTCTAAGGATTTTTTTTAAACTAATTAGTCTCATTAATTTTAAAAAGATAGATTTAATATATTATTTAAAAATTAAATTTACTGTTATATCCTTATTTCGATTATTATTATTATTTTTTATGCTGAAAGGTATGATATACCATCTATAAGAATCAAATTTGGAATGAATTTTTATATAATTTTTTTATTTGGAAAACATTTCAAAAAGGAGTACAAAAATGACTTGAAATATAAGAATTTTTCAAACATTCCAAAAGAATGTGAGATTTTTCAAATATTTCAAAAGGAGTATAAAAACTCCTTAGCAAGTTTTGAGCAAATATATAATTTCAAATTGTAACACTCTAATGTAACACTCAAACATAACACTCCAAAAAAAATTTGTTAGTGTACTTTTCTTAAAAGTAGTATTCTTATATAATACTACAAAAAAACTCCTTAGTGTAACACTCTAATATAACACATAAAAAACTTCTTAATGTACTTTTTTTCAAACATAACACTCCAATGTAACACTCTAAAAAAAAGATGTGGTATTTTTCAAATCATTCCAAAGGGAGTACACAAATTCCTTAGCAAGCTTTGGGCAAATATATAATTTCAAACTGTGAATATTTACGTTTGGAAAAAGTACATTAATGAGTTTTTTAATATTTTTGTGTGTTACATTGGAGTGTTACATTTGAGATTACATTGATTGGAGTGTTATGTTTGGAAAAAATATACTAAGAATTTTTTTGTGTGCTATATCAGAGTGTTGAAAAAATATAGTAAAAAGTTTTTTAGTGTGTTATATTGGAGCGTTACATTTTTATTCGTAATGTTAGATTTATTCTAGAAGGAGGGAAAATCTAAAATCTCTATATTGTCCAAATGTACAATTTCACATTTGGTGAAACCCACTTTTATCCCTAAAAAATTAAATCCAAATATGTAAGTGACTACATTTTTGTGTAATTTTCACTTTAATGGAATCTTTGAATTCATTAGAAAAAAAGAGAGGATGAAACCGTTTACAATATTATATTTTGAGATTTATTGGTACTTTGTCCAAAAAATTATTACTTCTACCATAAAATGTATAATTTTTGTAAAAGTTATACTATTTTACTCATTACAAAAAGCATAGTTTTGTTATTCATAATTTTACGGGTGTATACTATAATTTTACTATTCATAATTTTTATCACAAAAATTCATAAATTTCCTTAAAAAATCGTTATTTTTCTTACGATATGCCATTTTTGTAGGGACGCATGACATTTCTCCTAAAATAAAAATTACAATTATAATTTACCCAAGACTTATTGTTGACACCACAACCTGTATTCTGATTATTTTTTTTTTATTTTGGGCATATAGGTTTCTTCATTATCACCCATTTCTTACCAAGAACTCATTCATATCCCACTTGACAAGGGTGGGTTTTCACCTTGAAGGAAGACAATTTCACCACTAATATTGGTCACTTGAACAAAGCTCCTTTTGTACTAAATATATAATATAATATTATACACAAAAATCACCATATAATCTTACTATATTTTCAATCCACCATGTCTGCTCCTGAAAGCAAAACTGATTGGTCCTATCGAGGCCTTTGCCCCCATCTTCACCCTCATCCCCACCAATCCCGTCGCGCTGCGTGTCACAAACACCGACACCCTGCATTAGCCTCCGGTACAGTTGCCGGATCGTCGTCCTTAACGGCCGGAATCCAACTCATGTGCATGCAATATGGATGCAAATTACATTCCCTATGCCCACAATATACAAACACTATAACATTCTCTCTTTCAACTTCTTTGTGGAGAGAAAGAAAATTGAGCTCTTGATGTTTAGTGAGAGAGAGAGAGAGGTGATGGAAGGTGGGTGGAAACCTAATGTTGAGATATCACCAAATTGTCCTAGATGTGGTTCATGTAACACTAAATTTTGTTACTACAACAACTATAGCTTGACACAACCTAGGTACTTTTGTAAAAGTTGTAGGAGGTACTGGACCAAAGGTGGGTCCCTCCGGAACGTGCCGGTTGGAGGTGGTTGTCGAAAAAGCAGACGATGTAAGTCGATACGGATATCGGGTACGGGTCCGAAAGTGGGTCCCACTACGGATTTTGGTTACAATGGCAACATTTTGGGTGAATCCTCTTCTAGCTCATCATCATCTATGGTGGCTGATGGTTCGATTGATCTTGCCAGGGTTTACGCCGATTTCTTGAATCAAGAAAGTGTGCCCGAAACACGATTCGAAATGCCCAAATTGCTTAGGGATGTTGATCTGTCGTTCCACTATGCAAGTACAAATATGAATACAAATTTTAATTTCCAATTTCCATTGGAAATGGATTTAATTAGCAAAGGAGGTGAAATGTATCGGGAAACAATTGAAGAATTTGGGAGTGATCGCGTGGTGAGCAATTGTGGGTTGCCACCATTGCCCGGTGAAGAGGTAGTAGTAGCTCCAGAGATGGAATGGCCGAGTTCTGACATGATGGTTCCGAACCATTTTGTGCATATGTCACAATTGGATAGGATTGAATCAGAAGATCAACATTTTAAGCAATTTATTGGTAATAAGAAGTCGTTGTTTGACATGTCGAGTTATGAAACTCTTTTTAGGCCTTGAGCTGATCAAATTTCCTTTTTTTTTTTTTTTTTGGAGTTATTTTATTATGGTTATGTTAAATTTATATATATATATATATATATATGGGTATGTATAGAATGAAATGTAATTTACAACACAAATATATGCTTATGAAAAAGTTGAAATAATGAACCTTTGGTCATGTTTTACTTACAAAATTTTGTATAATAATCCACATTTCACAATTACAAAGCAAGTACTTATGAATGAAGATTTCACAATGCCTTAATTACTACTCTCTCTCTCTCAACCTTGAATTTGCATATATGGAGTGAGTGTCAGTGTACATACTTGCTATTGTACTTCTATATTTTATGTCAAGCTTGTGTGTTAAGCGGGTTAAGCAAGCTCCCTCAGCTTTTACCTAGTAGCTTTTAAACTATAAGGACGTATGAAGATAACCATATTTGATTATGAGTATTTCAATGGTTCATATTAATTTCTCTAAGTTGATATAGCTCTGTTGTATGGTATTATTTTTGTTTTTAATTTTCAATTTTAAGTTTTTATTACTAAAAAACACAAAATACTTGTTTCACGGATATTTTCACTAATGCGATTAAAGCAAATTTAACCCGTGGACATTACAATTGTATCTTGTATTAATTTGGTCATTACAATTTTAATTACATTCATTTTGTGCTTTATTTTTTTGCACGTTGAAAAATTAGACAAAAATCAAGGATAAAATGGTCCATTAACTCTCCAACCATTCACAACCATGGGACATGCTCCTCTCCGGTTCGCAATCAGATAGGAAGGTGTTGTTGGGCCATGGTGGGCCCATTTCGGGCTCATTTCAATGATCCAAACGTGCAATGTGTAAAACTCATTGAGTACATCATTCTTGCGAAAAAATCACATTGATCAGATATCGATAGCCATTTGATTAGATCACATTTGTATTAACGACAAGTATGATTTTTAAAATAAATTATTGATAGAAGTATGATCTGATTACTGATTATCAATATTCGATCAATTTGATTTTGTAAAAATAACATACCCAATAAACTCTACACATTAAATAATTGAATCATCAATATGAGCTCAGATTAGGACCTACTATGACTTAACATCACCCTCCAATTAGATTGCGGAATGGAGCGGAGCTTGTCTCCACCACCACCATCTCATTCCTTTATGTAACTATTATATTTGTAAAAATATTAGAAATATTAAAAATTCTATCAAAATTTCTACCAAATCTCGTATCAATGTGGAACCCACAAAGGACTCATATTATGTGGGTCTTACACCTATTTGGTAAATATTTTAATAATTTTTTTGAGATTTCTAACATTATTACTCTTATATTTGTGTCATTTGAACCCCTCAAACTATTATATTTGTGTTACTCTATCTCCATGAATAATTAAGTTGATCAATTACACCATTTATCTATTGATTTGAGTTTGTTTTCCCCAAATTATTAACACCACTTATATTTTAAACTGAATATTACTCCTACAAGTACACACGTCATTAATTGAAGATCTTGATTGACTTTGCTTTACAGTAAGTCTCATTTGACAACTCACTGTTTTAGCTTAAAAGTGAAAAATTTATTAAAAAAATTAAAGAGTCAAAGATTTTATTTTACTTTTTACTTTTTATACATTTTTTCGTAAAAAATTAAAAAGTCATACAATTTTTTTTACCTCATATTTTAATTAAAAAATTTAAAAATATTAAAATAACATATACCCAAAAGAGATCGAAACAAATAGATAAAGAGAAACATTCGCATACCATACAATAAAACAAAATTAATTATTTTAAAAATATTAGAAAATTCTTTTTCAAGTGTTTGTATCCTAATTAATTCATAAGATATTCTTGTATTTCAATAAGTTCTATTATTTGAACATTTGATTTATCAAATCATAATTCTCATATTAAGGTATTTTAAGGATATTTCTACCCTTACAAATATTTTTTGAACGGTTAGTAATTTGGTGATGTGAACATTCATATTTTATAATGTGAATATTCATATTAACATGTTAACATTCACATTGACGGTGTGAACATTTATATCACAGAATATTTACACTGTAAATGTGAATATTATTTGGGATATTTTGATAACTATGTCACTCAAAAGACTTATTGAAATATAAGAAAATAATGTAAATTAAATAGAATATAAGTAAGAAAAAAGTAATTTATAAAAAAGTGCCTCTTAAAAATATTAGATAAAACACAAAATATAGCTAATTGTAGCATACCGTTGTTTCTAGATATATATAACCAAATTTAACAAATCACATGCACAAATATTTTTGTGTGTAGGTATGTGTGCTATTCAATCAAGGACGTAATTATTTAAATTGATAGTTCAATATGTAAAATAACACAAGTATAATAGTTTGAAGGTGCAAATTAAATTTTCCCTATGCAAAATGCTTAGGATATTCAATTTGATTATTATTATTATTTTTTATTTTTTGAATTCAAAGCTATTCACTATAGTTGAAAATAAAAAATTATTAACGACAGTTCTATATAGAAACAATATCAACTCACAATAATTTTCTCATATAAATGAATGTTGAGTGAAGATCTCATCACGTAGTTGGAAACAACAATAATATATACTCTGAAAAATTATTCATAAATTTATTTATAAAATATTAATTTATGTACCATATTGAGAGGTCCTTTGGCAGTTGGATTTTTATCTAACAAAATTCAAAAAGATAAGAAATTAAAAAGTTAAAAATCGATTCCCAAACACATTAGATTTTTTTACACTAGTGTAAAAAGACCAACGTATTCCTACATTAAAGCCTAGTTTGGGAAGACTAAATAAGTGCACTTTTTGAATTTTTTTGTATTATGTGTAAAAAAAGTAGAGAGGAGATGTTGATTGATGTGACCCAAAAAAGATAAAAAGATGAAATAAGTGCACTTTTTTCTTTGTAGCCAAACTTAGCCTAACTTTTTTCCATACAAATAAAATCAAAGTAAAACAGAAGTCTTAGGCAAAAGTCTAAAATATCAGTCTTTCATGTTTTTTTTTTGTGTAATTTAAAAAGTCACTAACAAATCTACTTTCGAAAAAAGGTAAAAAAACCACTAAAAAAATCTACATTCCAAATACCCACTCATTATGGGGGTAGTCCATATTTTACGAACTTTAAATTTACGTCATATATTTCACTTTGGAAAAATTACACACCAGTAAAATCTTTTTAAAATAATTATTATTTCATGAAAAAGTTTATAAGTTTAATTATTAAAATTTGTAAATTTTTTTATTAATTTAAAATTATTTTTACCAACCTTCACTGATTTCCTTTCACTTTCAAAATAAATTTCAAAATAAAATATGCAACATTTTTGAATTGAAAAATCTAGCCCAAGCAGGAGATGTAAGAGCATGGTCAAGCTTTTGACATGTCAAGTTGCCTAGTCCTTGAAAGGAACATCAAATTGCAAGTGGTTTTCAGCCTTTGAAGTTTCAAACACTTGAAAATTAATTATGATGCTTTGGTAAGCCATGTTGCATGCTTAGGAACTTGGATGAGGGTGTGCATTACCAACATATATATTATATAGAATTCTCTGCATCATATGATCCCAGAAATGTATGCCCATGATCCAAGAAACTACCTTCCACAAATCATCTTGGGGTATCGTCTCGGGTTTCTTTTATAAATTAATGGTTTAGATTTATATCCACTTATTTGTTTGGTTTTGAATTAAACAGATTTAAATCTGTTGGGTTCAAAATTCAAACAGATAAAAAACAGATAAAAACGGGAAGGGCTCTGTTTGGGTGTACAGAAAAATCGGACCAGTTTATTTTCGGAATTAATTTGAATTCTGGATTTTATTATAAAATTAAATTCAAATATTTTTGACCCAAAAAGATAGGTATTGGGCTGAACAAGCCCAACCTAACACCACGCACCCAAGCCCAGTTAGCCCGGACGGCGGTGGCGAGCGTGTGGTGATTTTTGGATCCAATGGGTCTAACCCATAACCTCCCTCTCTAAAACACTTGCGTATCCTTTGGGGCACATCCCAAGTTCCAATCCCATGCCTTATAAATCAATTCAAAACTTCCCACCAAATCAATGTGGGACAAGCCTTATTCAAACCTTTAAGGATTTTCCACCAAAACTCAATTTCCATGGAGCATACTTTGGCTTTAATTTTCCATTCACTCGATAATGGTTTTGAGCAACCAAATATACCATGTGAATCACAACGCGGCATAGAACGCGTTACCACTTTGACCCGCGACAAACGATGCACAAGACCTACCTAAAAAATAGATCAAACTTAAGAAATTTTTTTAATTTTACCCAGAATTTTCCAACCGTTTCCAACATTATTTACAAACTTAATAGTAGATCCAAACAAAAAAACTGACTCAATATGTAATAGGTTAATGTATAGACAATATATAAAACACTTGAAAGAAGTGCATCATAAGATCTGGAGATGCTGCTGTGACTAAGTCACAAGTCAGAGCAACGATTTGCTGTAAGTCTATGGAGGTTTTTTTTAAGTCATTTTCAATAATTCGAACCGTCCATATTGTAGGGTTCGTCGATTATATCATCCATATAAAAATCAAGTTAATCAGAAATTCATAATCTCATGACTAAATTCAAATTGTTTTACAAAAATTATCAAGCTAATGTCAACCGTTTATTTTTTTAAAAAACAAATATGCTCTTGTTATAAAGTTATAGATTTCCAATCAATTTATTTTTTGCATAGATGATCTATTCAACAAATCCTACAATATGAACGGTTTAAATGATCAAAAAAGACTCGGAAAAAGCCTCAATAAACTCACAACAGATCGCTACTGTGACTTAGCCACAGCAGTATCCCCAGTTCCTGCATCATAAGATGATTTTGATAAATTCTTATTTTTATTGATGTGTCACAGTCTTATCAATTAGAATGGAGATTTCATTCCAATTGTATAATGGAGATAATGAGGTGCATCCGATGCA